CCATTTCATCCGGCTAGCAATGGATTGTCAGAGAGATTTGTGAGAACGGCTAAGGAAGCCATCTCAGGCCTAGGTCCCGGGGACTGGCAGGAGAGGATAGATAAATTCTTAATGGCCCAACACGCCACACCATGCACCGCCATAGGCAGGAGCCCGGCAGAACTTCTGATGGGGAGAAAGCTCCGAGGAGTCCTACACAGGCTACACCCCAGTTATTCCCCTGACAACTTCTGAGGGGCGGAGAAAAGACTTAGGGAGTTCACAATAGGAACGCCAGTATTTGCTAGGAATTACGGGAATGGGCCCCTCTGGGAAACCGGGACAATCACGGAGGTAACTGGGCCCAAGTCATATAGAGTAGACATGGGAGATGGGAGGATTTGGTGCCGACACATTGATCAGTTACGGAAGCGTTTGGCCGCCGACACAGAAGACATCTTCGATGATGTCTTCGCTCCCTAGCTACCAACAGAACTCTCGACCTAACTCAAACCCGAGTCTAGCGGAGGACGTAGCTGTTGGCCCCGAGATCCAGCACCGCCCCATTGTGGAAGATCGACCAGCCGCAGAAGTCGCCGCCCATAACGAATTCTCGGAGGTTCCATTGGCGGAGCAGGGAGAAACAAGGAGTTCCTCCGACCTGCTCGACGCCACACCTCCGACTGAACTGCGCAGGTCAACTAGGGTGTGGACACGCCCTGGTCACTTGAGAGACTTTGTATGCTAATGTCCACCCAAAGTGACCTCTGGGAGGGGAGGAGTGTTATGTATGTAGATTTGGGCGGGCAGTTTGAATTAACTGACCATCAGCTGATTGGCTGACCACCACAGCTGCAAGGTATATAAAGGGAGCTGTTTCCCCTGGTCAGTTGCTGGGTTCTCACCCTACAATAAAGAAATGTTGTCACTCACTGCCTGGCTTGCTGCGTCCTCATTTACCCAACTTAACAGAAAGGTTTGGACTTATTTCGTTTGTGGCTAAGAAATGACCCTAAATTGATCCCTCTTTTTACCTTTCCCCCTAGTTCTGCCAATCCTTCTCCTATATTCATCCATTACTGAAAGGATGAAAACATGTCTTATCTTAAAGAAATGAAGAAAAACCTGACTGTAATATTTAGATTAATATCCTTTTGGCCTATCCATCCTATATTGAACCTCCCAGTCTTCCCTCCCAGCTACTACAACAATTACTACTGCTGAAGTCCCAGCATATATAATATATCCCTGTCTACTTAATCTGTTTACTAAACTGATGTCTGTTAAATGAAATTGTTTGCTGTGATTGAAAGTAAACTGATTTAAACAAATTGCTGTTGGAAATTAGTAAGATTTGGCTAGATATGCCTCATTTAAGCTGAGTATTGTACTGTGAGTTCTGGTCCTGCCTTAGACACAATGGCAGCTGGGTCACCTTGAACCAGTCACTTTCTCCCAACCCTGTGAAGAAGCCAGTGGCAAACCAATTCTGAAAAACCTTACTAAGAAAATTGCAGGAACTTGCCCAGGCAATCTCCAAGAATCACAATTGAATGGAACAACAAAAAATAGTATGAATATAACTAAAGTCCTGAAATGTATTTTGGGAACTTAATTCACTATTTTGAAATTTGGGAAAATACTTCCGTTGTTTTTCAATCAGAGCTTTTCAGTTGTCTGTTGATTCAAGCTTTTATCATAAAGAACTTTAATAAATTGGATGTGATCAATTAATTTGTCTAAAATGAATTTTCCCCTGCTAATATTACCTAAAAAACAGGATTGCATTCAATACTCACTCACTCACTCACTCATTCACTCACTCACTCACTCACTCTATCATCTATCTATCTATCTATCTATCTATCTATCTATCTATCTATCTATCTATCTATCTATCTATCATCTTCTATCCATTCATTCTATTTCTGTAGCTGCCCAACTCAATCAAACTGAGCAGATTGCAATTGTACATGAACATTATGGGAATTTTAACCTCGAAAACATTTAAGGCACTTTTTTCATTTGACAACCTGAGTGGAATGTGAAATGCATATTTTAGAATAATTAATAGTATTAGCTGATCATTTTCATAATACAGAGAGCTGTCAAAAATGTACAGCCTGGCAATGCCCTTAATTAAAACATTGTTTGATATGTAGATGTGGCCAGAGGCCTTAAAGAATTTAGAATAGAATAGAATAGAATAGAATAGAATAGAATAGAATAGAATAGAATAGAATAGAATAGAATAGAACAGAACAGAGTTGGAAGGGACCTTGGAGGTCTTCTAGTCCAACCTCCTGCCCAGGCAGGAAACCCTACACCACTTCAGACAAATGGTTATCCAACATCTTCTTTAAAATTTCCAGTGAACATTTAATATGTTTTCTACACAATAACCCAATAATGATTACTTTAAAAAAAAAAAAAGTTCCTCCAATACATAATTAGATGTCCAAGATTATAAGAAGGTTTTAAGTAAAAAACTATGATATCTTGATTCATGAAAATCAATGGAGGGGCATTTTTATTGCTTCCATACCAGTAAAATTTTAATTTCAGAGAACTAGTGAAAAAGAAATGACACATAATATGTATCAACTGTATTCTTACCGATTAAAAGGATAGAAAGAAGCTTTACAGAGGGCCTTCAAATTAGGATTTTTCAAGTGAAGTGTAGGTAGGTTGAACCTGGTTAGACTGATGGATCACCAGTTCTAGAACTCTTTCAGAAACAATGAAAAAGCCATTCCTCCAGCTGCACTGATAAAATATGTGTGCAATTAATACATTTAGTTTGCTTGATGAGCTAGCTGAGACATAACTTTTCAACAATTTGTTAAAACATGAATTTTGTGGAATGGTCAGAATATATTTTCTCCCCTGACTTAATGAATCAGTTATCTCTTAGCTCTTTATAACTGATGAAATTTAACCTTCCAGATAGTTTTCTAAGGGACAGCTATTAACAGTTAATGGAATGAAGTTCTTATTCAAAATCCGTTTTATTGCATCAGACCCTCTTGGTGAAATGGTTTGGTTTCATTCATTTGGAAATTATTATGCAAAGCTGTTTTGGATTATCCTCAATATTAAGAAACTTATAAAAGCATGATACTGAGTAATGCTTGTTAAATATTCTTCTCATGTGTTTAACACATTTTATATAATTTTAAAATAGCTCTTTATAAAGGGGTGTTGTAATTCCTGTTTCCCAGCATTTTCTAGATTTAGATCTAGTTTTAAACATGTTAAAAATCTAACCGTACAGCAGTTAGATCTGCCACAATCTAAATTTGAAAAGGAATTAGAAAGAATGAAAATTTAAATATACAGCTTTAGGTGAAAAACTTCTTACTTCAAGTAAATGACCCCATGAACATCAGCAATCAAAGCTGTAGCAAACATCTGAGGCTGGTTTGTCTGCTCATAGAAAGCATTTGTATATGCAGCAAGGGTTCTCTATAAAAAAGTGATTTCACCAGTTCATCTCAAAAATGATGAAAGCATTCTAGAATTCTACTCTGTTTAGAAGTATGTTAATGAACGGGAATGAAGAAATTCTGAAATCTTTTAGTCAAAGCAACAGGATAGAGATTTTCACTGCTAACTTACCTTTAACTCTCTTGTTTCTTCCATGTTTCTTATCATTCCTGAGGATATTGCAAAAACTAAGTGTGTTTGGTCAAATCACTGCCAAAATGGTCTCCAAAATTATTTTCTTTAGCAGCAACTGGAGAAAGTTAAAATAGCACAATGGCAACCAAGCTATTCTGCAAGTGAGAAAGTCCAAGAGAGATTTCAAACTATTTACTCAGTGGAGCCTGGGTTTAATGAGAAACAGGCTTCTCTTCTGGAACCAGTGGAAGGATCTCTGCAAATCAACAACCAGGAAAAAGGGGGAGGAAAAAGCTGACTTGTTTTTGTAATTTTATTTCAAACAATGTTAGCAATGGAACTCAGACATGAGTAAGAAAAACAGCATTTCTATCCCTAAACCTTCAAAAATACACTAAGAACAAGGAGCAAAGAATATCTAAGTGGTGCAGAGTCTTATTGCTATTCATTCCCACTCCACAGGAAAATGAAACTAAAGAAATTATGTGTTTTTCCTTTATATTACGTACATTTGTCTCTAAGGCATTTGTGCCTTAGACTAGGTTGTGAGGGAGAGTGGAACTGGAAAGACATTAAAGCCTCCTTTATTTGTAAAAGGCTTGCCAGTGAGGCTGAAATCAAGGAAGCAGAGTAGAAAAAACCTGGCAGGTCAGAGGAAATGCTATGGAACTATTATGGTTGATGTTAGCCTCATTTTGAAAAATGTTCTTTTTTTATTAATAATGCTCTGGTAATTAATGGACAAACTGGTCTCAGCTTTTACACTGATTTCCAAAAAATGGGTGTTTTACAAAAGGCTATCATCCATTCAACTCCTGCCTTAGGCATGAAAGAGCCTTGGTAGTACAGTGGTCTAAGGCACCCTGTTATTAAGCTGGTTATTAAGACCAGCTGCCTGCAATTACTGCAGGTTCGAATCTCGCCAAGGCTCAAGGTTGACTCAGCCTTCCATCCTTTCTAAGGTAGGTAAATTGAGGACCCAGTTGTGGGGGCAATAAGCTGACTTTGTATAAATATACAAAAGGATGAAGGCTATTGCTGAGCACATTGTAAGCCGCTCTGAGTCTCCGGAGAAGGGCGGCATATAAATCAAATTAAAAAAAAAAAAGCCAGCTGAATAAGCTTGAGTCAGTTACACTCTCAGCCCAATTTGCCTCACAGAGGAGTTGTTGCAGGGAAAATAGGAGGAAGGAGCATTAGATATGTTCACCATCTTGAGTTTATAAAAATAATAAAGGCAGGATATAATTTTTTTTTTACTTTTTGTGTCATTAAACCCAGCATCTGTTTCAGCTCTCCACCCCATCTGTGGTCTACCATGTTACTGCTACCAATAACAGGAAAGATATCACTGCACCTCATCTTCAGACCTCTACATCAGTAGGCAAATTGGAACAATATTCTTGTTTTAAAAAAATCTTTATTCTTTGTCAGAGGGCTTTGCATATAAGTTATCCTCATCTTCAGAATACAATTGATACTTTGGGTTTCTGCTCACAGAGTATAATCACAAGGGATAACAGTTGTAGTTGCATAATGCTTCAAATTCAATTTCTAAACTGTGCTTTATAGTAGGCAAGTGCCAGATTTGTCTGCATTCTTTAAAACAGCAGGGTTTTTTTTAGTGAGCCTCATGGCAGCTGCTAAGAAATAGATGAACTTTACCAAAGATGCTCTCTCTATTGCAGACATCACCAATACTTGCAACTGATAATCCATTTAAACAATGGCAGAAGGACATTTCTAAGTTTATATGGCAAGGGAAAAAAACTAGAATTTGATACAAGTTATTGCAAGATGCTAATGAAAGAAGGGATTTAGCAGATTTGAAATTGTATTTTGATACATGCTGTTTGGCCTGGTTAAGAGTGGGTGAACCTTCAGAACAAGAGGCTACTTGATTTAGTACGCCATGAATTAAGGTTTGGTTGGCACGGTTATCCATGGTATGACAAAGTTAATTTTAATAATCGCTTTGCTAGACATGCTATACTAAGAGTTTGGAATAAATATCAAGTAAGGTTTTCTATGGATTTGCCTCTTTTGGGTGTCTCCTGAGGAAGCTTTTTTTTACAAAAGATATGGTGACAAAGCCAGATGGGTGGACCTATGGTACAATAATATCGACTCTGGTGTCCCTACCCTAAAGTTGAGGGAAGAGCTAGAATTAGGTTACATTTGCCATTGGTTTATATCAGTGGTGGGTTTCTAATAGTTCGCCCTGGTCCAGGAGAACCGGTAGTGGCAGGAGGCTCCAATCACCCACCTCAACGTCATCACGGACACTCTGCGCATGGGCAGAAGCGCCGCATACACTCTCCCGATTCTGAATTGGTAGCGAAGGTAAGTGGAACCCACTACTGGTTTACATATCAACAACTGAAAGATTTAAACTAGATAGAGTTATGGGTTTGATTTTGTTAAAAATGAATTGGAAATCTTACTGTGTGGTAATGATGAACATATTGCTAAGATTTATAAAATGTTACTGAAATTGAATTTGGAAAGTGAACATGAAAAAACATATGGTTCAGTGGGCAAGGAATTTTGGATATAATGTAATGCTTGAACAATGGGAATATATATGGATGAAAGGTTTAAAATTCACACTAAACTATAATTTAAAAGAAAATTTTTATTAGATGGTGTACTGCTGGTATCTAACACCAGATAAGTTATCTAGAATGTATAAAGGTATTCCAGATGAATGTTGGAAATGTAAAAGTAAAGAAGGCACCTTTTATCATTTATGGTGAACATGTGATAAAGCAAAGACATTTTGGAGTAAGATTCATATTTTAATACAGAAAATTCTTAAAATGAAGATAAAGATGAAACTATAAACTTTTCGTTTGGATTTAATGGAAAAAGACTTAGAAAAAAATTGGAACTTTGATTTTTTAAATGTTGACAGCAAGACTACTGTCTGTATGCACAAAAATGGAAGGACACTTTGACTCCCACCATGGACGAATGGCTACAGAAGCTGATGGAGCTGACAGAGATGGCTAAATTAACTGTTTCGATCAAAGAAAAGAATATCAGTACTTTTGTTGCTACAGACACTGCTTCTGGACTTTGTGCTTGAGGTGGAAAAAAATGAAACATTGATTTTGGGTTTTACTGATTAGATTGATTCATTGTTATAGAAATGGCTAGTTTGTATTATTATGAAAAGAAAAAAGTTGAGGTTCGATGTTAATGCTTTATTCTTCTGCAGAGTCGGAAGTCAATACTTTTCTTTCTCCCCTTCTCACTTGTCTTTCCCCTTTTCTTCCTCACTGTATTTTATAATTTGCTTTTCTAATTTATTCTATAATCTAAGATTATATTTTATAGTATTTTATTCTATAATCTAATAAAATGTGTAAATCCAAAAAAGGAATAGATGAAATTGTACCCAGCTCCTATGGGCAGGCTCTAATAGAATTTGAAATATTGCACACCCCTAAAATGTACATAAATTTTCAGACTCTTCTATCTGGAGGACAAGATTTGATTATGTCAAAATGTAGAGGATACCATAAAACAGGAACACAAAACATTTGTGGCCACTGAGTTGTTTTTTCTTCTTCCCCAAATTTTCTTTGTATATTTTACCATATAATTAATGACACTTAGAAATTGTATGAGAAGTAGAATATACTATTAAATAGGTATGCATGGTTATTTTTAAAGTCTTGAATTGTATCATTTATTTGCAAACTTGCTTTGCTGATACTATTCCTTTGTGTTTGAGCCATTATTATTCATAGATATGTTTAAGTCAGAGATCCCTTATTCCACAGTATCTGCTAGAATAAATGGGAATGCTGTTAGTATAATTGTTGTAGAATCTCTTTCCTAGCCATCCGTTCATCAGTAACTTGTTATTTGTTAATAGCAAATTAATAATAATGAAGAAAAATGTAATATGAGACAGCATACTCTACAACAAACCTAGGTACTTATTATGTTTCTTGGATAGTGAATTGCAGCTTCTTTCTAAATAAATCTGGGAAGACACAGTTCTGTACACTTTGTGATTAGGATAGAATCCGATTTTGCTTAGCACCAGAACGCTGCATTCAACACACGGCAATTCATTTCATTTTCCAACGCTCTATAGATGGCATGCAGAGAATCAGTCATAGTGAAAATTCTTTACAAAGCCACTTCCCATTCTTTTTTTTTCTGAGAAGCTTGGGATCTATTGATGGATAAAAATGTCTACATTAGAATTCACAATAATTGTTTTTAAAATGTTACATAACTTATACAAATTATACAAATTACATAACTTATACAAATACTTCTGGACATATGTTTGCATAAAACAGTATTACAAATTTTAAAAACCCAATCAATCAAAAGGCAGATATTAGGGAGAATTAGCTGTTGGGAAAAATAGTATATAAAATACACTTGCAATCTCTGATTGCTGGAGTACATAGGGGCCATCATAGAGAAGGCCCTTGTTTATGTGGCTACTAAGTGGCAATCTACCAACTACAGCAGAGGTGTCAAACTCGATTTCATTGAGGACTGGATCAACATTGTGGTTGTCCTCCAGGGGCCGGACAAAGGGGGAAAGGGAGTGGCCAGGGTGGTCATGGCTAACTGGGCGTGGCCCGGGGCAAGGCTAGCTTGACATTGCTCGCAAGGGTGGTGCCTGTGGGGTTAGTGGGATTGCCTCTCTCTCTCTTTCTCTCACACAAACACAGGTTTGATAAGATTATCTCGCTCTCTCAACCCACCTCATGGCACCAGCCATGCTCTCCACGGCAAACTGCACTACTTTGTCCTCCACCCCACACTGCTTAACTTTGTGGCCGCTGCACCAGTGCATTGCTAAGCCTCCTGCTCCATTATGGTGGCAAGCAAGGAGAAAAAGCAGCGAAGAACAAAGAAGAAAGAGAGGCAGTGGGAGGGGGTGGAGGACAAAGGAAGGGCAAGGGGTGAGGAGCTGCCCCACATGCCCCACACCGGCTTACCCGAGGGCCCTTCAGCCAGGCCACCCATGCCAAACCCTCACTCCACCGATTCACCCCCAGGGCAGCCCCATCCCTTCACTAACCTGCTTTCCAGCTCCGTTCCCCGCTGCTGTGTGCAGGGCAAGAAAAGTAGTCTGTGGGACTATGGTAAAAAAATAGTTCAGACCTTCCAACTTCTCAAAAAAAAAAAAAAAAAAAAAAAACATTTCGTGAAGTTGGAAGGTCTGAACAATTTTTTTAATGCACCCCCTGCCTTGCTTTGTCCTCTACCCACCCCACTGCCTCACTTCGTTCTTCTTTATTCTTTGCCACTTCTTCTTCTTGCTTGCCGCTGTAATGGAGGAGGCTGAGCAACACACTGGTGCGGCGGCCACAAAGCGAGGCGGTGGGGGGGATGGAGGACGAAGCAAGGTGGGTGCGCAGAGCTGCCCCCCATGCCCCGCACCGGCTTATCTGAGCACCCCACAGCCAGGCCAGCAACATCCTGACTTCATCTTGCAGCAGGTCCAGCAGCCCAGTACAGGACTCCATGTGCGGCACTCAGTCTCTTGCTTTGTTGCAGCAGCAAGCAAGGAGAAGCGGGCTGGCAGCCACGTAGGGTCCTGGATGGGATTTCTGGAGCCACCACCGCCCGCCTCCTTCTTGGAGGGCCAGCTGCGGAGTCCCTGCTGCCGGACACCTCCCCCTGCACGCACACACATCCCTGAAAGGCCGGAGATGCTGGTGTGGGTGTGGCACTTATCTTCAACCTGGTGGCATCCATGCCGGGCTGTGGTCGGCCGGGCTGAGGCAATGTGCATAGGCCAGGATAGGATGGGCTGGGCCTGTGCATGTATGCACCCGCCTCCTCCTGTGTGCTTGCACACTGGGATGGCATGGGATGGCCCAAAGACATGCGGGCCATATCTGACCTCATTGTGGGCCGTATCCAATCCGCGGGCCTTGAGTTTGACACCCCTGAACTACAGCATGGAAAATGTTATTGCCAACAAAGATAATAAATGCTTATAATCTGAAGATTTTCTTTCAGGGTGATCTGGTCCTGGGCTTTCAAAAGCTGTTTTGTCAGCCAACCAATGCAAAACTTTTAGCACGAGTCTGATGTGTGAGAACCTTCTTGATCACTATTAAATACACAGATTGCATCAAAGTAATCTAACCAGAAGTTAACAAAGCAGCTTTTACTGAGGTAAAACATTCCATGTTCTGAAATAAGCATATTTGCTTAGATAGCAATGTTCTTCTAGTCAGAAGCCCAAACTAACCACTATAAATTGTACCTTAAAGACTCCAAAAAGACTTCATGTCTTCAAATACTTATGTGACATCTTCTAAACTGCCTTGTCCCCCCAAAAATACTTGGGCAGGGATATATTTAGTCTTAGATCGCCAGCATTCAAAGTCATTTTCCAATCTGTTTAGCTGCTTCTGGAAAACCATCATGCTTACAACTCATAGTATTGCAAAGATCACTCAGAAGCAATCAGTGGCCCACTGTATCTCTAACGCTAGACAGATGAGATACAGTGGGCCACTGATTGCTTCTGAGTGATCTTTGTCTGTACTTCAGCTGCTGAAATATCAGTTACTTTATTCAGAAAGCTATTCAATTGATAATTGTTTGATTGATTCAATTGATTGATAATTCAATTGGTAATTTTTTTCACATGTAGCTTGCACAGCCAATCTGTCTTTCCCTCACTTCCTTCTCCCACCTCACAGTACTTTAAATCTCCTATCAGTCTAGTCACCCTATGCATCTGATGAAATGAGTTATAACTCATGAAAGCGTGAGCCTTTTAATAAAATGTGTTAGTTGGAAAAATGCCACCAGGCTCCTCCTCGTTTTGGATTTCACTTGGAAAGGATCTGGTCATGATAATGCACTTACTATAAATTACTATAAATTTACCTGTGTTGAAATTAATGCCATCCCTTGGGGCAAAAACCTGTGCTATGCCTTGTTCTACTGATGACATATGAGATAATCATACTGTGTTTCCCCGAAAATAAGACCCCATCTTACATTTTTTTGAACCCTGAAATAAGTGCTTGGCCTTATTGTCATGCACTCTTTTGGGGGAAACAGGGTATAGCTGCTATGAACTGAAGCAATCTATCAGCATTAGGGATTCTGTTGCTTGAGCATTAAACTAGGAATAACCCTAATGGGCCTACTGTGTTTTGTGATTTTCTACTAGGTCTCTATATCCAGTATTTTTATAACCTTTCCTCTTTCTCAATTAATTGCAAATAGCCCAGCATTTTGCAGTAACTGCAGGGTATTAACCTACTTCAAGATCCATATACAGTGATTTGCAATAAATTTGTTTAGAAGTTACAAATGCAAGGATTAAATACACCTAATTCCTGGTAAAGCACACTCATTGTGACAGAGACCACTTGTACCTCCACCTCTTTCTTTTTACCTAATCCAATGAAATTATAAAATAATCCATTGTACAAAGAAGCTTGCATTTAAAAGATTTTAAACATCAGCTCAACTCATGTTATTTATAAAATAAAAAGGGGAAAGGACATATACCTGATTACCATCTCGTATATAGTATCTCTTTTCTATAACCTAAAGCACAGAAAAAAGAAACATTATTAAATGTGATCCATCCAGAATACTGTATCATATAGGAGACAATATTTACTTTCCAAAACTGGGTTTGTGCAGGTTGGAGACAAGAACATGCCCCCTGATGACTCTGTGGAGGAAGTAGGTGATTTAGAAGTATAAATGGCTGGAAACAAAGCAGAGAGGCACAGCACAACAGCCATCTTCTTTTCTACAGCAGCACCAACAGTCCTGATACAAACTTTTATCTTTTCCCACTGGGAACAGGGAAACATCTAACAGCAGTTCATGGCTGATGTGCCTAGAAAGCATCACTTAGCAATCAAAGCAGTCAAACCTTGGTGCTGAAGGGTTGTAGAACTTAGGATACGGAGAAAATGACCTAAGTTTCTCTGCACAATGGAGAGACAATCAGCTTGCCCTGATATTTAAGACAGGCATGGATGATTCAAGCTTATCAGAAGTTGAAAAAGTGGAGAAGAAAAAGATGTTTATAGAAATTCATAGGAACTACAATTAAAGAAGAAGTAAGAAGAAACTTATAGAATAAGATACATAGTAAATAAGGTTTGGAAACAAACTTGTACTGTATGGATAAATCCACAGAAAATTCACACTATAAAATGTACAATAACATTTAGAAATAGATCTAGAGAGAGAAATACTCCCGGTTTTCTTTTAAAACATTATTTTTATATAATGGGTCCACCTGCAACAAAGGAGACCAAACTTCAATTCTTATCTGTAGTCTGTACTATTTCCCCAAAAGACCCTGTGGTAGTTAAACGAGGGTCAGTTCTCATCTTAACATGGTTCATAATTTTGGGAACATTTGTTTTTCAAACTTTTTCTCAAGTCTTAGTGTTTTCTGTTAGCATGCTTCTATGTCATACAATTACAATAATAATCATGGTTAGTTCTATATAACGAAATAATTCAAATAATTCATTTAATTCATATAGTTCACATTATATTGCAGTTTGGATTGTAGCAACAAGCTAAAGTTTAGCATTATAGAACCTTTACAGCCAATCTCCATAGTGAGGACTATAAAGAATATGAATGAATGCTTAGACTATTAGTTAAAGAACCTGTTATAATAAGAGACCAAATATGTGGCTTCTGTGTATCACATATATAAAAGAATAACAAGATTACCATATAGAAGTGTTCATTGGGTCACATGGTAATGCCAAAAGATTCTCATGTCAATTAGCTAACAGAAAAGATGACTGGAAATTCACAAGCCTTGGGGCCAGTACAAGAAGTAAAAAGGTTTTCTGAAATGATGAAGTATATTCAATGTGGAACGTGGGTATATATAGATATGAAGCACCCATTGCATGTCGACTGATGAGTTAGGAGAAAAGGTTGGCAGAGCAATGCCCTGAGCCAGAGAGAAAGTAGTAATTATCTTTGGCAGAAAAGAAACATCTGGTCAGAGTATAACTGTCTTTCTGCCAGATGAGATAAGATGGATCAATAATAAGGGCACAAAGTTCACCAGCACGATGCATAGTAGTAACTGGCAAAAGCAAAATACTTTCAATGTAAGCAAACATTAAGAAGAATAGCCTCAAGTACTTTAAAAGTCAACTAAGAAACTACTGAAATGTCCCAAGAAAAAGCCCATCTCAGAAATGGGAAGATACATGTTAAATTTAACAAAAAGAAAAAAAGAAAAGAAAAAAGAAACCAAACAAGAAGAAATGTTGACTAATTCTGAATAGAAGAATGAATAGTAAAAAAGCCATAACAAACTTGCATTGATGGCCTTTCACAGAAAGTGGAAAGAGACAATTGAAAAGAAGCCCATGTAGAATTAAAAGAATGGAGAACAGAAGGTTTCTGAGAGGCATCAAGACTTCTTGTTCTGTAGATGGCATAAGATAGGCTTCCAGGCTGTCAGACACATATCCACAAATCTTGTTACAGGGGGAGATGACCAAAATGCCATTTGCCCTCAAGAGTAGTTTAGGAAATCAGAACTGATTGCACCACCAAAGAATCATGAGCGTGCACTGCTTTGATTGTAACAGATCTTGGCAGGAGTCCTGGAGAAATAAAACAATGCAACACAATATTTAGCAATGTGTAACACTTAATGTTCAGATGTCACAGTTGCCATTTTAGTGCAGAATATCTAACTTAGATTGCTTGAAAGTTCTGGTATCGTTGATTGTTTTTCTAAGATGCCCAGGAAGTACGTGCACATTCAGGCATCAACAGAACAGTGATGTCTCCACAGCATACAGATCAGACCCTCAAATTTAATGGGTTCCTTACAAGTAGTCCTTGATTTACAACCACAATTGAGCTCAATATTTCTGTTGCTAAGTGAGATATTTCTTAAGTGAATTTTGCCCCATTTTATGACTTTTCTTGCCACAGTTGTTAAATGAATCACTGTAATTGTTAAGTTAGTCATATAGTTGTTAAATGAATCTGGCTTCCCCATTGATTTTGTTTGTCAGAAGATCACAAAAGGTGATCACATGACCCCGGGACACTGCATCTGACATAAATATGAACCAATTGCTAAGTGTGTGAATTTTGATCCCATGACCATAGGGATGTTGCAGTGGGCATAAGTGTGAAAAACAGTAATAAGTCACTTTTTTCAATGATGTTGTAATTTCGTACAGTCTCTAAATGAACTGTTGAAAGTCAAGGACTTCCTGTATTAACAAGAAAAGGAATTTTCTTGAGCCCTTTTGTTCAATATTGTTTTTTGAACATGGAGATTAAAGGTGTAGTCTTGTCATAAATTCTTTTAGTGATGGTAACAAACTAGACAGACTCTTTTGGTTCTTACTGAGTAAAAAATGCTTTATCATCAAAACAGATTAAAAATAAATTAAGTGCTTATATAAACAAGAATGTGATTTTGTTATACTTTTAAACCTTATCTTTTTATAATTTTAGGAATTGGTTCTTCTTTATCCTACAGTAAAGCCATGGGAAGGCTGACTATCTAAAGGAAGCATGAAAACATAGGGTACAGATTGAAGGCTGCATCAGGGTTATGTTTGACCTTGGTGGGCCGGGGTGGGTGTGGCCAGGGTGGGCATGGCCAGCTCGACATCACTCATATCGGGGACACCTGTGGCAGCCCGAGCACTCTGCCAGTGAAAATGGGCTCCCGAGCTCTGTTTTCAGCTGTGACGGCCTCCTGCAATCCTCTGCCAGTGAAAACAGAGCTCAGAGGGCTGCGAGCGGCCCTCCTGAGTCTGTTTTTGCTGGCAGAGGCACTGCAGGCCAATCCTTTGCTGTTTCCAGGTCGTCCTGTGGGCCAGATCTAAGCACCCCACAGGCTGGATCTGGCCCTCGGGCCTCGAGTTTGACACCCCTGCAATAAAGCCTGTTTAATTTAGATCAGATTGTAGAAGTTTTTCATTCTGTATGCTGTCAAGAATAAAGGCTTACCTTATCAAAAAATCTGCTGAGCTTGACAGCATTGGAGGAACCTGCAGCCAAGTAACGGGGACTTGTACAATCCTGAAAGATCAAAACATCAATTTTGTCTTTAATTTCTTAATTTGCTCATTGGTAGATAGTCCCTAAAAAGTACAGAGTAGTTTTGAAGTACCATATTTTTGGTATATAAGATGCACCCCCCCACACACAAAAAAGTGGGAGGAAATGTCTGTGCGTCTTATACAGTGAATGTTGCTGAAGCCCCACCCACCCACCAGCCCCCAGCCTTTGGCCTCTGTCTCCCAGCAATTTACTTCCTTGCAGCAAACAGCACAGCCTGATTTAGCACAAGCAGCTGATTGACAGTTGGATCCTGGAATACCGCCTATCAGCTGTTCCAAACTGCAGGGATTGCCTCTGCCCTTCACTGCCACCCATCGCTGCTGCTGCCTATCGCTGCCTCTGCATGCCCCATTTTCTGCCTCCATGCATCCCATTTTTGGCCTGTTCCAGGCAGTGGGGATAGGCAGTGGCGGCAGAAATCCCCGCCCCTGGAACAGGCGAAAATGGGGCACATGGAGGTGGCAATAGGCTGCAGCAGCAATGGGTGGCGACGGCAGCAATGGGTGGTGGCGATCCCTGCAGCCTGGAACAACTGAAAGGCGGTATTCCGGAGGCCAATCCAACCGCCAATCAGCTGCTTGCGCTAAACCAGGCTGTGCTGAAGCTGACCAGGCTGTTTGCTGTATTCATTCCACCAAATACAAGCTGAAGCAAAGTTTTATTTTCACATCCAATGGTAATCGTCTTTCTCTCAACATAATCAGTGTTCTTTCCTTTGGCAGCTTAATGTATCTATCCTATTGCAATCTCCCTCCCACCACTGCTGTATTGTAAATCATTAGTCAGTAGCAATCAATACATTTATTGCCCCAGAAGTCTGAAAACCTGAAGTCTCCATCCCAGAATTACTTGTCAAAGACAGAGCAAGTGTATTTATATACCACCATGTTTTTGAGATACTTATTTAGGCACCTGTGATGAATGATCACTCTTCACCCAGACAGCCAATTTGGGGTGGTGGTTAAGGCTTTGGATTAGGAATGGAAATATTCAGTTCCTAATCCTCCCTCAGGCATGGAAGCTCACTGGATGCCTTAGGCCAATGCAGTCATTCTCTGAGACAAACCTGTCACAGAATGTTGTTGCTGTAGAACAAAGTAGGAGGACAGGTGTTGACAGCGAGACCCAAGATTTAAATGCATTGAAGCAAAGTTCGCTTGGATAAAGGAATGAGTGACTTTTCTGCCTGGATCCCCTTTCTTGTAGATCTCCAGTGTGGTTAGAGCGTACTGATCTCATATATCGAACAACATTCTATACAAACTAAAGATGGTCTTGACGAAAGTCATTCAGTAGAAGTTGTGCTACAGCCTAAGGTTTGCAGACTTGGATTTCTCAATCCTGGCATGCAGCTATAAATATGTTGGGAAAAACTGTTTCCTGACTAAAGGGATCAAATCGGTCTTCAGGGTTATGAAGGTCTTCTGGGCTAGTTATCTACTTTCATCCTCTCCATGTTAAATCTTGCATAATACACACACTTAGAGCAAATGGAGGAAAAATGTAGAGATCTTTGGGCTCTTTTGAAGTTCAAGATATCTGATGCTATGGCTCCCTCTGTAGGTACCTGGAAGACAAACTGGCTCAGCTTATAGTTAGCTGGAAATACAAGTCTACTAATGGGGCTTTAAACCTTCTGGTGATCTCATAACAATCTATGAATGAAGAATTCATTAATATTATAAGATATAGTAATAGCACTTAAGACTTATATACTGCTTTACAGCCCTCTCTAAGCAGTTTACAGAGTCAGCATATTGCTCCCAACAATTTGGGTCCTCATTTTACCAACCTAAGAAGGATGGAAGGCTGAGTCAACCTTGACGAGATTTGGATCTTTCCATTCCTAGATGGTGAGATTTGAACTACCAAATTGCAGGCAGCCGGCAGTCAGCAGAAGTAGCCTGCAGTACTTCACTCTAACCACTGCACCACCATGGCATATAGACTCTGGATGTGTTTTGAAGAAGTTGAGACTCTGGTCATTCCAGTATTCTTGAGGTCTTCCTCATGAAGGATTGGGGCTCAATTCTACCATGTTTTCCCGAAAACAAGACATGTCCTATGCGGACATAAGCCCAATCAGACTTTTCAGCGCATGCGATAATATAGCCATCCCCGCAAAATAAGCCTCCCCACCAACTACTTACATACATGCGCAGTCTGTCCCATTTCCTCTGGTTGCTTGCCGCACAACCAAAATGAGTTGAGAAGGCAAGGCTGGAGGAGGGGGGGGAAAGGGGGGACATGCCCTCCCCTCCCTTTTCTTCATGCCGACTAAGCGGCCCAACACATCCCACCTCACCCAAATGGCAATAGCAGCCTGGCTGCTTCCCTTCCCCGCCGTCTCTTTATTGAGAGAGGTAGAGGTGGGGTGGGGGAGAATTCGAGAAGTTTGATTGAACTCGCGAGAAGGCTTACTTTTATAGTATGTTTCCCTGGACATAATGGCGAGGAATGCGACGGATCTGGAAAGGTAAGACGCGTGTCCCGCTTCTCACCCGCCCTGCCACTCCCAAATTGCATCCCTAAAGGGGGTGGGTGGTTAAGCGAGGGGATGGAACCCTGTCATGCCCGGCGAGGGGGGGGAGAAGAGACGGCAAGGGGAGCCACGTCTCGCTCCACGCGTCTCACTTCTCCCCTGCCTCCCCTGCCACCCCTCTTGATAAAGAGACAGTGGGGAAGGGAAGCAGCTGTTGCCATTGGGGTGGGGTGAGACATTTTGGGCTGTTCAGTTGGCATGAAGAATAGGGAGAGGAGGTGACGGCAGCGACAGGACATCCAGTCCCACATTCGCCGCCTCTTGCACCCCCAAAATAATAAGATCCCTGATAATAAGGCCAAGCTCTTATTTGGGGGGTCAAAAAAAAATAAGACCCTGTTTTATTTTTGGGGAAACACTGTACTTAGATAGAAAAAATGAGCTTGGGCAGTATTGTGCTTTGTCAAAGACAAACACAGTAGTATTAGAGGCCTGAATTCAAGATTGGCTAGTCCAATCACTGCTAATCACGAGAAAAATTTATACTGTGTTCGTAGTCTGTTATTGTTTAGGAACCTTGAAACATCTAGCCAGGCAGTCACACACCAAGAAAACTTATTTTGGTGGTGTTTAGGATGTGTGCTGACACTTCCCAAATGAATTTCTAGCATCTAGGACTTCTATTATCTGAAGGACTATTTCAGATGCAAATTTAACTTTATTATGATGCCCCATTTTCATAACTTTATGTAAGAGAAAGAGTGCTTGCCATGGATAAATTCTATAAGATGGAGCATGAACTGAGTCAATGGATAATGTTCTGGGAGGTAGGTCAGGATTGATTGTTTGGCACATGAGACATTGATCTTAGGTCATACATCTTTTGAGCCAGATGGGACTTGTTTGAGAGTCAGAATGTCTCTGAAATTCTCTTTCCTTTTAGTTTACACAGAGAAAATTATTGAAAATTCTGCTGGTGGAATTAGTTTTATGGCCTTGATTTTTAGCAGATGACTGATCTAAATCTGAAAATCCTTTTCTGTTGCAACTTGAAGGAAAATATAAATGTTTACGTCTTGAAATTCTGTGGCATAGGCATAGGCAACTGTGAAGCAGCAAGTGTCTATGATGAGAGTAATTTGCAATGGATAGACTTAAATAGTCCCTTACTGCTGCCCCTTTACAAAATTGAGAAGGATCAAAGAACTGGCAGGAAAGTTGCTGTGTGGAGTTAGAGGTTCCTAACATTCTTTGATTCTGTCTGCAAGGGAAAAAAATAGCTTAAGGGTACCCTCCAGCAATAATGGAAAATGAGCAGGATTTATTTCAGGGAAATGACTATTCTCTGAAATAAATTCATGGCCAACAATAGGATTAATCCAAGCTGACAAAATAAAGGATAACACAAACCAGATTGATTTCTTCTGCACTGAAATCCTCAACCAGAAAAGCAGTTCTGCTCAAGACCTCATTGCGTTTTGTCTCTGGGATTTGGTCTAATTTTGTTCCTATGACAAGCAGTGGAATCTGGTTATCAGCAAACTGTTCCCGATCATAGTCTCTGTGAAGGAAAGTGAAGATATAAAGCATAAAGATATAAAGATATAAAGTTTATGAAGTATTACAGGTGGCACATTAGCTACAGTTTCCCAAATATACTTCTTTGCCACAGCCATGTATTAAGATTTGCTCTTTCTTGGAGAATGCAACCTCATCTTTAAAATGCTTCACCTCAATCCCTGAGTACAAAAGTATTTCCATCATGACTGGATTTAATTTCAGGATGGTGATCAAGCATGAAATGTATAAAGTATCACTAAGGAAGGTGACAGCAGCAGCACTCTTCAAATTAGCACAAAACGTATTTTAGTGAAAGTGTAAGGGAATTTTATACCGGATAGGAACTAAATCTATTTTAAATCGTTTATTACATGTTTTCCCTGCTTAAGATGTCTTACATCACAATATAACAACAAACAAATCTAGGATGGATATGGCAAATGGAAAGTAGAGATAATATACATGTACACCGCACGTTTATGAAAATCCAGTGTCAGGCCTTCAAGGTAGGCTAGATCAAGAAACAGTCACTGCAGGAATTCCAAAAATGATACTTTTGTGGCAGTATATAGCAGCATAATTTTGAAAGCCAGCCCAAGTTTCTCTTAGTTCCATCTTATGCTAAACAAAATCAAGATGTGGTTATTTTAAATTTCTCTCTCATGCTCCCTTCTATCTCTGGATTGAGCAATCTCTTGACAGCTCTTTAACAGCTATCTCATATCTGCCCTAAGGTTAGTTCTCTGGTCCTTTATATCAACATTCATCCCAAGTTTTAGAAAGCTACATGTATGTTAAGTCTTCCATTGCAAAGGCAGGATCTGAACATCTTGGAAATGTAGCTACAATAGTAGAATCCAATTTTATACAGTCTCTTTAAACTACCCAAATACCCAGAAAAAAGCTACCATTTGCACTAGCATTCCACATGAACGTAGAAGATTAAAATGGGCAGATCTCTACCCTCCTACCTTTCACAAAGCATTGACCTGGCTTTCCTCCCAAGGGCTGGGATGAGCTGTCTGCCTATTGGAAGCTTGACTTCATGCCAGGTTTTGTATTTGGTTGTTATAGTTTTAATATGATCTATGTTGTTTTAATTTTTGATTGGGAGCCACACAGTTTGTTGTAAGATAAGGATAAGGATAATTTTATTGGGATGGGAGAATATAAAAATATTTTAAATAAATAAATAAAGTCAAGTTGATTTCATCTCTAGTTTTCAACATTCTATAATCTGACAATGGGATCAATGGGTTACTTTTTTTCCGATATGTGCTCTTTAGCACTTTAGCAATCTCCTATTTTCCTATCTTCAAATCCCCCAAAATCTGGGGAAAAGAGCCTGTTTCTATTATTTTTAATTATATATTTTTAATTATTAAAATGTATTAACTGCAAAGCTATGAATCATTTTAATGAATTAGGTGTTCAGTTTGTTCAGGAAATAAATTCTGACTAGCCAAAATTGATGTATTTATCCCAAAGGTATTTTTCAAATGGCAACTGTACTTTGTTTTTTCCTTGAAGACATTTCACTTCTCATCCAAGAAGCTTCTTCAGATCTGACTGAATGGTGTGAAATTGAAAACACCCTTGGACCACCATGACCTGGATGATTGAGAATTTCCATAAACAATATATTTTTCCTATTCTACTTTGTAAAGTTGAATATATTTAGATGTATTTTTGCTATTAAAACTGTCGATCACTGCTACTCCTTATATATGAAACACATACTATGACTTTCACACAGCCTTTAAGGACAGATTTCTAAAAAGAATATTGCTAGACGAGGTGGTCCTTCTTTTTTCTGACAGAAAAGAGCCTACCCATTTTCAAAATCTTACAACATGTCATCCCTCCAATTCACATGGTTATCACAATGATAGTGGATGGCTGTATATTCTGCCTACTTACCCATTTGTCACCAGGACGCTAGATGGAGTCACATCTTTGTTGAGAGCTTCCAAAGACCATCGATACAAGTTTTGTGAGGACTTTTTGTTGGTTAAATCATGCACTAAAATGATTCCTAAGTAAGAAAAGGTTTTTTTTTAATTTTTTCCTAAAATTACCAAAATTATTTTGAAACACATAGCAATTATAGAAACAAAGCCAGGTCTCAAAAGAGCACAAAAATGAGAATATTTATTCAACCTCTCATTAAGGACAGAATCAGAATGAAAGCTAACCATGTTTAGAAGTAAACTATTGTAGAAGACCATTAGAAAAGCCAGTTTTGCCTAACAAACAAGGTTATAAAATCAATTAAGACACATTATGAAGCAATCAGGCATCATAAAGCAATCAGCTAGGGCAAGGGAATTTGATGGATTAGTTGGAAAATAAAAAAGAATTATGTAAGGAAATGGTACTAATGCCTGAGCTGGAAGGATTTTGGTCTAGATATGATAGCACTATATAATGAACCATAGAACTGAATGCTGCAATATAATTATTTTCAGTTCCTTGATTACTCTTCCCTAACTGACTTTCTTGAACTGAAAGGACTATAAGCATGTTCTCTGTTTTAATAAGCCCCCCCCAAGTTTTTGCACAGTATTGCTTTATGATCCTGTTTCCTGGTTATTTTTGGGTTTTGTTTATACCTTAGTCTTAAATTCTCACAAAAAAATGAAATGTACTTAGGTCTAACCTCCTGGAAAAATTCCCGCTTCTAATTTCCAATCACTTCAAACCAAACGCTATTGGCTATAGAATTACTAGATACTGTGCATGGATTCAATCTTTTTCAGATGTGGATGCAACTATTTCAGCAATAAAAGTTATGTAAAACTAAACAATAAAAAGTATGTAGGATTTATTCTAGAATATTATAAAAATGAAAGAATAGTTTTAAAAACTTTGTTAAAATGATTAAAGAAATAATAGCAACAGTTACTTTTCCTTCCCCATCTTTTGTTTTGTTTTGTTTTAGTTTAAGTCTGAGGGACTTTCCTTAATTCTACTTTTATAATCCCCAATAACAGAAATTCTCAAAGTTATGTATTATAGTTAAAACATTCAAAAAAGTAAGCTATGTAAATCGATGTAAAATACTTCAGAGAAAACAGTACAACATACAAGCAAAAATCACAATTCAAACTAAAGTAAAAATGTACAATAACATGTTTGTACCAGAGATTTTTACCACCGCTGGAATTTTACTAAACGTGGGATCTAACTTACAACAGATGTCAGCAATTTATTTTCAAAGAAATAAAAGGTACAGAAATAAAAGAAACAAAGACAAAGAATAGGAAAAAAAATGTGAGAACAATCTTTTCCAAATTTAATTTAAGGTGGCAGGAATACATATAGCTGGAAATTCCAGATAAAGAGAAGACCACATTGCATCACTGAAGACAGGACCAGACACATATATATCTGAATGGATTTCAGTTGAAAAGATATCAGAGAACCCAGAGGCTCATTCACAAAGTTAAAAATAAGCGAAGGAACAGCAGATAGTGGGAAACAGACCTTCTTGCGGCCGAGTTGCTTGATTGTCAGAGGCTTTTAAAAGCATTTTTTTCTGCAACCTCTTCAGCCGAAGAGGTTGTAATAAAAATGCTTTTAAAAGTAAAAAAAAAAAAGTTGGCCACGCCCACCCAGTCACATTACCCCCCACTAAGCCATTCCCACAGAACCAGTAGTAACACATTTTACATTTCACCACTGCCTCTGGGTGATCATCAATGGGTGGTGTTTGATAACAATTCACGTGCTAGTCCTAATTCAAATTTAGAATAGAATATCTTTAGCTCCACGTATATCTGCCTAAAGATTAAGGCATCTGATAGGAATAGTTGGTATTCTACTTTGAAACTAGTATTGGTTATGCATTATTTCATTATTTCATGAATATAATTAAAGAATGGCCCAGAAATCTTTTAAGGTACATATATGTGGCAGTGATACAGATACAAAATATATACAAGTTCATAAATTGCCTCCAGGCAAGATGGGTGGCATGTAAATTGAATAAATAAATGTAAATGAATAAATAAATTTAATCCATTGCAAACTAGAATGTACTGGTTTTCAAATAAACATAATGAATAATAAATATACCCAGAAACCTGTTCAGGAAAAAAATTAAAGAAATTTGTTGACACTTGCAAATATACATTGTATCTAAGAAAGTAAAGTATTTGAAATTGAAATTCAGCCAATAACTGTTCTTTAATGTAAAATTCTTGTTTGCAATATTTACGGAACATGATCTACATAAATCAAACCAAGTTCTGTAGTTCTGATCTGATGTAACAGATCTTAAAAATGCATCCATTACCATTAACTGAATTGTAGAACATAAGACGTGTGCTTTTCACACTACTAGCACTGCCTACAGAACCACCAACATCCCATAATTCGATGAAATAGATCTTTTCTTCTGGAGTTCCTTCTTTGTAGTCATGAATCTGGCAACAAGAAACCAAATAACATAAATAAATTTAAAATAACAGTAAATTAAAATCAGCATTCCATTACACAATGAAGTACCTCTATAGAACATAGGAAAGGTGGTCTAAGGAGATAATTAGTTAGGTTCAGCAATGAGTTTCTAAGAATGCAGCTGCTTTGGCCTATGCACGCTATACAGTAAGGTTTTTTTTTCTTTTTCAAATGGTAATGAGGATAACAAGGTGACATATTTCTTAACGGGAAAAGCAGAAAATAAGCACTTTCCTGAAAATACTTGCTGTATTATATTTACTTATTCTGATGAAAAAATCCAAACATGTTTTTTTATGGAGAATGAATTATCTGCATTTAGCTTTTATGGGGAGAAAGAATGTATACAAAATATCTGGCACATATATCAATATAGGAGTGTGAGATGTATGTACACACAAAACTTACACACAGACATATAGGCTGCATAAATCATTTGGAGAAATCATTTAACTTGGCAGTCCCTTTATTACCAATTTTGGTGGGGAAAAAAATAATTGCATGAATATACATATGAAGATGATCTACAAGAGCCCTCAAAGCAGCTGCATTAAATCTTCAGGTGGATGCAACCATTATGACATCTGTTAAAAGCCAGTTTACTTACAATTTGCTCAAATACACCCCAAATAGTTCACATAGATCTAATTAATTTTTGCATGCATGATAATACTACAGATAAATTAAAAATACCATGTCAAAGTATAATAAGCAAAGAATACACTACAAAAAAACCTGTACCATAGACACAATTTCATGATCATTTTTTCCTGCTCTTTCTATCTCCAGAACTCTACTCAACAATTAACTTAGCAACTTTTCTATTTTCTGGTCAGAGAATGCTTCAAAAGGAAGCCTGGTTAGTAGCTATTCATTATTTGCCCCTAAGAATAATTTTGTATTCAGAAACTTTTTTTGAAATAAAGATGGTTAAATATGTCTTGGCAGCCAATCAGTATAAAAGATCATCTTTCAAAAATTACCTGACCACTGTACTCTCCACAAGAACTATAATAAGGAACACAGAATCATAATATTTTTGCAAAAATCTGGAAAGATAATTTTCCCACTCTTTGGCCAATATTTTTCTACTTTTATTCAATTCCTATCCCACTGACTGATACAGTACATGTACATCTCTTTTACTAATTTTATTGCATATTTTTGCAAAGATGCAGAAGAAGACAGATTATCAATTATAGAAAACACTTGCAAGTCTATGAATATTTAAATACCCCCTAGGCCATCATATTTTAAGTTTAAACGTGCCTGGGATAAACATATGTCCATCATCCAACAAAAATTAAAATAATTAAACATAATAAATTAAATTAATAAATTAATAAATTAAAAAGTAAACAAAAAAACCCTCAAGGGGTAGACCGGATGAACCATTAGGTCTTTTTCTGTTGTCCATTTTCTGTTTCTATATTTCTATATTGCTTTCCTTCTCACCTCCACCTCTGACCATGTTAGAGTTATCAATAATGGGTAGTGCTCATCAACTGAATGATATTCTTACGTTGCAATTATGCTTTACTTCTGCAGTTAAATGTCACTAATTTTCTGTATGTAAAATATATTATTTCAAAGACAATATTCACAAATTATCAGGTGTTTCCACATACACGGACATCAACAGAGCAGCCCACAGTCCAGGATGGGTTTCCTAGCATCTGATTGTGACATAATAGGTGAACAAGTGATGATTTCCCCACACCTGAAACAAAATAATAAAATAAACCTTCAAAACTAACAAACATGTCTGCTGTCATTTAAGTTTTGCTATATAACGGAAATTAAATAGGAATAAACCACCCTAGATAGCTGTTATAGTGTCTCCTACTTGAGCAGGGAGTTGGACTAAAAGACCTCCAAGGTTCTTTCCAATTCTGTCATTCTATGTTCTATGTAACAAGTGCAAAAATTAGATTCAGTATTGTACAAGTTGGATTTTCCAAAAAATGATAGACTAGATTGTTTCTCTTATATCTTCAAATGATTGGAATCTGATCTTCCATGTTTGACATATTTATTAATAGCATTAGAGGAGTATGTCATAACTGATGGCAGCCTGTAGGTAACTTGGCTTATCTTGAATAAATCTAAATAAATTTGGTCATTAATCCTTGAACAAATCATCACAAAATCAAAGATCTGTGGTGGAATACACCAGTAAGAGAATGCGGTGATGTTGGAACTGCTGCCCAGAAATTATTTACACTTTGACGGTTCAAGCCTGGCTCCATAAGATGGGGTGATCTCCCGTTCCTTGATCCCTAGCTCCTGCCCATCCAGCAGTCCAAAAGCATGCAATATTATAAGTAGATAAATGGGTACTATTTCAGTGGGAAAAACCTAGCTGCGTTCATGTATGCAGAGAGCAGAAGCCAGCACTGAACCTGGCCAGACATGAGGCATCGTGACACGGGGTGAGGTGAGGCAAGAGCAGAAGAGTCTGGAAGAGCCAGTAACCTGAGTGCCATTGGTTAATTGATGTAAAGCTAGTTTGCCCCCTGCAGTGCTTCAAGGATAGATGGGCAAGTGCCAAACAGAATAAACTAGCAATTTGGCTGTCAGGACTGCTTTGTGTCTAACGTGTAGATTTCCCTGCCATTGTACGCTAAATAAATAAATAAACTGCTAAGTAAAAATATGGTCTGTGTTTGTACTCTATTCTCTTTTGTTGTTTTGTCACTGTAATTAAGATTGATTTGACTTAATATTCAAAACCAGTTGCTGGGAGGCGGGCACCATATAAATTTGATATATTATTTCTGTTCATAATAATCATACTTTAGCAGTTCCTGCAGTGAGTAAGGGGCTGGACTGATTATTTCTGTGATCCCTTCTAACTCTGGGATTCTATATTCTTGATAGCTTTAATAGGGAAGAAAAAGACTAAATGAAATTTAATACAGACAAATGCAAAGTTCTTTACTTCACTCAAGTATCAAATACACAAGCATAGAATGACATATGAAATAAATTACAATAGGATATCATACATTTTATTTTGCTGAATGAGTTCAAGCGAAGGCTAAATAGCCATCCAATGGAAATGCTTTAATCTAGATTCTTGTACTGAGCAGGAGGACAGATTCAGTGGTACAAATGGCTCTTTCCAATTCTGGGATTCTATTGCACCCAGAAATATCTTAACAGTTCTCTATGTCCTAAAAATGGGGGGGAGGGGGAGATGCAAGAGTACTATTATTAATTAAATTATATGTCCCTCATCATGCCTAAAGGTGACTCTGAGGCTTACCAACCAATAAAATATTTAAATTTTAAAACAATATATAATCACATTACACTTGATTTAAAATTGACAAAGATGGGGAGGAAGGGAACAAAATGCACATGGGGAGGAGCTGGGGTTTTATCTTAGTCCATTAACCTACTGCAGAATGATGACACCCACCAATAGTTATTGCAAACACGCTATACGCAAATATGTTTGTATGAGGGGCTAATGTTTCTGCAACTGCACCTCTGTAGTATGTTAGTTCGAGAAACAAACAGGTTAACTAAGTGAGATCGTAGAAACATTTTTGAAACTCTTACACCATCGACTGCTATGGCCTCATTTACACACCCAGCAGAGCATAGATCTAAAACTCTTGACTGCACTAGACCAATTGAGACGGGAAGTAGAATATGGATGCGTTAAATAACCACACTTTCTAGAAATCAGGGGGAAAAAAATAGCTGTATTGTCTGTTACACTGTTTCTTGTTCTATTTTCCGAAGAAACTATTTTAAGCAGGAAAGGAATTCCAAATAACAGCCAATTTGGAGTCCTGCTATATTATTTCTCCCCCTTGCCATATAGAGCGGCAGAGCGTGGCTCTTCTTCGTGGAGGACGGCTGCGGTCGCTCCTCACGCCCTCACCCACTCACCTGAATCACCCAACACAAGCACCTTCACCCTTTCTAAGGCAGCCATATTTTTTTCTCTTCAGGGGCAATTACCAGAAGAAGCTACCGACGTAGGCCACCTCTCCACTTTCATTCTTCCTAAAATAGACCAATCAGAAATCGATTCGTACAAGCCTGTCTTCTATTGGCCGATCACACACTTTTCATTCCAATTGGCCCCAAGAGCTGCGGGGGTGGGGAGGCACTCTTAATGAGGTAGGAAGTAGAACACAGTGCGTCGCACGGTAGTGACGTTTCGCGACGGCCGGACTTTCGTTTGCAGCCGCCTCGAAGCAAACTTGTGAGGTGAGCGGCAACGGGGAGATTTGTCCGGGAGCTTCGCATGTCAGTAAGACTCGTTGGGTGAGACGGCCTTGATCTGTTTGTTTCCGAACGCGGAGGCGATTGGGAGTGAAAGGAAGCCGTCGTCCCTCCTGTCTAGTTTCACTGAGGGGTTGGGCTTCGGACTGGATCCTCCTCCATGTAACGCGGTCGTAATAGCCCGTTTTCTGCAGGTTGAAATGTAGGATGCCAGGGAGAAGGGTTCCATTTGCAGTTGGCTCCATTGTGCATTTCCGTTCTGTTGGCAGCATCGGGAGTCAAGTGCGTCTGCCATAGCACAAACATGGATTCTATTCCATTTCATTGTTCATTGACTAAATAAATTTACTGGTTGGTCATTCATCCACTCATCACACCCGAAGGAAAAGGTGTGACTTTTCCTTTGGAAAGAAGTATATAAGTGGTTGAAGCAAAATACTCCCACATCTTGCAATCTTGCAATCTTTCAAAATCTTTTTCTTCCTCCCATTTTGTTCGAAGAAAGATGCTTAGTACCATGGCTCAAGCTACCGGATGTGGGCTAAAAAAAGCAATCTAGAGGCCATCAGGAGGTTTGCAGCTCACATTTGGTAGACAGAGTAATAGTCCATGGGTAATACAATCTTTCACCTGTTGGTCCTCTTAATGAAACATTGTGCTATATTATATGCTATATGCTATATTAATTGATACAGTCTTAACATACTTTTAGTTCTTGTACAGACTGGAAGACAGGAATACAATATATTTTTTCTGCATGTATAAGAACAGGGAAGAAGGCAAGAAGATTAGAAGTAATGTTATTTATGCATTTCTAATTTTCTGTTATTTATTATTTATTATTTATTTATTATGGTTATAGTTAATTATAGTGGACAGTGGATTTGATACTGCTAAGTGGAAGAAAACAAGAATTTGAATATAATATTTGTTTTGCAAGATAACAGCTATGACAGATCCAGACATTCTCACAGAGGTCCCAGCTTCTCTGAAACGCCTTGCTAAGTATGTAGTACGTGGTTTTTATGGTACTGAACATGCTTTGGCCCTGGACATTCTAATTCGGAACCCATGTGTAAAGGAGGAAGACATGTTGGAGCTTCTGAAGTTTGATCGGAAGCAGCTGCGAGCAATTCTCAACACTCTTAAAGGTGACAAATTTATCAAATGCAGGATGAGAGTGGAGACAGCTCCAGATGGGAAGACCACCAGGCACAATTTCTACTTTATTAATTATCGTCTACTGGTCAATGTGGTGAAGTATAAATTGGATCATATGAGAAGAAGAATTGAGACAGATGAAAGAGACTCCACCAACCGAGCCTCTTTCAGGTGTCCTATTTGTTGCAGTACCTTCACAGATTTAGAGGCAAACCAGTTGTTTGAACCTAATACAGGTAAGATACAAGAATTCCTCAAAGGGCTGAAATAATAATTTGCCATCTTATCTGGTAGAGTTGATTTGGGGATAGAAAAAGCCTATATATTTGGTTGTTCCAAGTTATTTTTTAAAGAAGGGTTGGGGAGGTCAACAGTTTTTATGACAATTGAGTTAGCAAGACATTAAGACTTTCTAGGAATGAATATAATGGAAGTATATTTATAATATAAATATTGGGAAAGTATTAAGAGAGAAATATTACAGAAGCATGTAACCAAGACATGGTCACAATGCATATCATAGGCTTAGTAAACATTGAGAGCTACACCAAAGAAAATGCATCTGGGAGAAAATGCCTCATTAGGTTAGTCTAGTTGCAATCTTGCCCAAACATGTAAATGTATCATTATTTAAGAGAGAAGTTATTTATTTATCAGACTTATTCAGTTGCAAAATTGGAAAGATTCAAAACAGATTATATTAAAAACTCAGGAAAACAAACAATTAGAATGCAAAAGGTATAAAAACTAAATGATGCAATGGGGAAACTACATAAAAATTAATTTTGGTTCGTCCAATGAAAATGCTTGGCTGGAACTCAAAGAACCTTATCCCTTGTGTTTTTAAAGTAGAGTAGCGCCAAATGGACCTTTGTAGGAATGATGTATCAGAGGGCAGAAATAGTATGCTTCTGGGATCCTGCAAAATTGCATTTTTTTTAATCTGTAAAAGCTTTCTTGCCACAAGGCCATATATCAGAACATGTTGAGGACTGCCTGATAGCAGATGAGAACTGGACTAACACCATAATCAGAGCTGATATCCTCTTCTCTACCATATCCTTTGCACTTCATTCTCTGTCACGTTCACATCAGACTTCTATACATTTTTTTCTCTCCCATGTGTACACATTCCTGAACTTGGAGGCCTGGCATAAGGGAAAAAACAATAGCCCTGCTGACTTAGATTAACTACCTATTTTTTCCAGTATTTTGTGGCCCTTTGGCCAACAAACTGCTGACAGGAAGCTCGGGAGCCTAGCCAGGAGAGCAGTGGCAGCTGCTATTGAAGGAAGGTTGCTTCTGATTCAGAAGATAAAACAGTTTTCAAGTCAGTTAGCCACTCACTGACTGATTCTCCATGAATTTGTCCCGTCTTCTTTTAAAACTGTAAATGGGTGGAGTCATCAGTTAAGTAAATTTACTACTACCTAAATAGTAGGTAAAATACTTTTGCCTTCTCTCTGTTTTAATTTATCGCTAAATAAAATGCATCTTTTCTATGATAGTTTTACTTTGCACAACCCATCAAATAATTTAACAGTTAATTAGCATTTTATATTTCCTAATTTTTACTGATTTATTTTCTGTATAGGAATATTTCGCTGCACATTTTGTGAGACTGAAGTGGAAGAAGATGAATCTGCAATGCCTAAAAAGGATGCAAGAACTCTTGTAGCACGATTTAATGAACAAATAGAACCTATTTATGCATTGCTTCGTGAGACTGAGGATGTTAATTTAGCTTATGAATTACTTGAGCCTGAGCCTATGGAGATTCTTGCATTGAAGCAGAGGTGGGCCAGAGTATTAATTTGTCTGAATTTGGTAGTCAACGGTTGACAGACTTCTCAAATTCTGTTTCTAAAAATATATGTCATTAGATATGGACCTTTATGATTTAGCTAGATGTCTACAGATGATGGCTGTATAATTCCAGTATGATATTAAACACTTTTGCCAGCATAAATATCTGACAAATTTTAATAAATTGGGTGTAATCATATGCACTCACAGAAAAAAACCATATTTAACTGAGCTGGACTTTTAGTTAGAATGCATGGAATTATACCTTTAGACTTTATATAAGGTATATATAAAAACAGTATTTCATGTTGTTTCTTCTCTGTAGTTCATTTTATTGTGATTTGAACTTAAAGTACAATGTACAATGTACTTTGATATTGTTCTTTACAATGTACAATGTACAATGATATTGTTCTTTAATACAAATCTCAACATAGAGAAAAAGTTAATATCTTGTGAAATTAAAAGAGTCTTGAGGGCTTTTTAAAAAAGAGTTCTTAGTATCTTCAAGACTGAAACTTTTTCATTGCATATCTGAAATCCTATCCATATGTACCTGAGATTCAGTTCCACTAATTATAGTAGTGCTTGCATCCGAATGCATAGATTCGATTACTAAGCAATGTTAAGCAATAATACATCAGGGACATTTTAATATTAACATACAACTGTAAGAGCAGATTAACAGACTGAATTACTGAGAGTTCATAGGCTCTTCACTGCAAAATAATCTGTTAGGCTTTTTAAATAGGTATTCTGCAGTAAGCAGGAGTTCAATCAATCAATAATATTTATGTTATCAATGACCAGAAAAATGTAAAAGAACAGCAACTTAGTAAAGCAAATAAATGCAGTAATGTACTAGTAAATAAGTCACATAATATATAACATTTTACAATGTTAATACAGTTGTTACCTGATTGACAGTAAGCAGGGATTGGATCCAGTAACCTACAGGCCCCTTTGAACTCAAATATTTTACTGTACTGATTCCATTTTAATTGGTACTGGCTATCCATTCTTAATTTTAGATCATCTGCAGATTTGATAAAATTCAGTTTGCAGAAATAGGCAACTTGTTGCCTGTAGTACCAGTCAGGATGCCTATTCCACTCTGTACTCTACCTGACTAATATCTTTTAGATTATGTTAAGTAAAAAAATAAATGGGAAGCTGTCATGTTGCAGAGCACCAGCATTGATGGTGGTTCTCACTTAACGACCACTTATTCAGCAATTGTTTGAACTTACAATGGTGTTGAACAAGTCCTCATACTTAGGACGGTTGCAGCATCTCCATGGTCACATGATTGCCATTTGCAACCTTCACTGATGGTTTCAACAGGCAAAAACTGGGAAAGCCAACAGGAGTGTTACAAATGGTGACCACATGATAATTGTGTTTAGCAATGCTATGGGGTTTGTTTAGCAATGGAAACTAGAAGTGCTAGAACTGTGTTGCTAAGTGGCTCGGTCATATGATTTTACACTTTACAGACATGTCCCTTAGTGATGGAAATTCCAATTCCAGTTATCGTCATTAAGTGAGGACTACCTTTCCAGGAGTGCATAGGTGGCTCTCAGAAGCGTTTTTAGAAAAGAAACATTGGAGATAGCTATAGTCACGTGTTTGTCTGGAGCTGTGTCTTTATTTGTACAAAGAATTCCTCTGTTAGGGAGATGTGATAAATAAAAAATACGTAAAGTCAAAAGTAAGCTTATGGACAAAAATGGTAAGGCTGCAATATCTCCGAAGTTTATATACATACATACATACATACATACATACATACATACATACATACATACATACATTGATTTGATTTATATGCCGCCCTTCTCCGGAGACTCAGGGCGGTTTATAATATTTCCATTGCTTCTAACATTCCTCTAGAATTAATGGCATTTCTGTAATCCAGCTGTAATAAGTGTGTAGTGCTTTTTAAATCCTTTAAAAATGAGTATCATTGATGATCCTGTTGAGAAGTCTTAATGACCTTTTACAATATTGAATAAACTGTATGTATTAGCTTTTAAATTGTACTGTTATAAGAATTTTATTAAAATAATGTACAATGTTTCTCTAATCCAAACATATCTGTTTATGATTGTGTGCAGCAAAGAACGAGCTGCTGGTGCATTGGGAAACAGTAGTTTACCAAGTGGGCAGCACAGAGAAGCCTGGACAACAAAAGGGCCTTCTTATGGGGACATGTACACTCAGAATGTAATTATTAACATGGAGGATCAAGAAGATACACATCAGCCAGCAAATGAAGGGAAGCTACCCAGAGAGAGACCAGTTTGGCTGCGGGAAAGCACAGTGCAAGGTGCTTATGATCCTAATGAGGTCACTGAAGGTAAGAAAGCTATAAGAAGAAAAACATTATGAAATCCAAAAGGATGTAAATAGAGAAGCATGTACATTATGAGAGGTACTCAATTTATGATGGCAATTGGGATTGGAATTGCCGTCACTAAGCAATGTGGTTATAAAGCATGACCACATCACTTAGTGAGAATAATCCATGCAGTCCCAGTTGCCATCGTTAATTGAATCCCATCATCATTGGGTGAAGTAGCTTCCTGCTTGACTTCGGTTATTACCAAAGTCAGTGCGGAAACCAGCAGGAAATAGCAAGTCCCAGGCTCGCAGGCATTTAAGTGGTTACTGCTGGATGAAGGATGGAGCAAGAGGGTGTGAGGGAGTGTCAAGGATGGTGTGCAAGAGATGATGCACAGTTTGGGAAGGTGCACAAGGAAGGAAGGGAGTGCATAAGTGGCACCATGCTGGTCAGGGAGGGTACGTAGGAAGTGCCATCTGGATCATGGAGAGGGCAAGACCTGGGAAGAACACCTTCAACACCTAAGCTTAACAATGGATTGTATAGGAAAAACTGGCTTAACCATAAACCCAAAAAAGTGCTATCTAGGAAACCTGATATTGGGGGTTCATGGTTGGTAAGAAAGAGATAAAGCCTGAACAGGGAAAGGTAGAAATCCTGAAACAGGTGGAAGTCTCCAAACAAAGATATTCATTCTTCCTGGGTTTGGTGGGTTATTACCAAAGGTTTATCCCTCATTTTTCTACTATAGCTCAATCTCGTAACACACCTAATGAGAAAAACAGAGCCCCCCAGAGTACAGTGGTCTACAGAATGCCAGGAAGCATTGGAGAACATAAAAGATGCTTTATGTAAGAAGCCAGTACTAAAAGGACTGGATTTGTCCCAACCATATGTTATACAAATAGATACATCTAACATATGCTTAATACTCCTTTAAGGGATGGACCACACTGTGCTATACTTGTCAAAGAATCTTCTCCAGGGAAACAAAAATGTAGCACCATCAAAAAAAAATTCTATGCAATGAAGGAGGCAGTCGCTGTTCTGTGTGTGTAACTCTGGCATTGGGAATTCACTGTGATAATTGACTACCAACCACTCACCTGACTGCAGCTGTTGAAGGATACAAATTCCCAGTTAACCAGGTGGTATCTGACAGTGCAATTTACCACTTCAATATTATGCAGCAGGTGGGACAGCAAAATTTCATCACTGACTTCCTTTTTTTTCTCAAATATTTTATTTTATTAAAAAAAAGTTTAAAATACAACCCTCCAAAATTTTTAAACTAAAAAATTAAACTAAAACAAAAAACCACAACATTTTAAAAGTGCATTAAAAACACTAACACATATACACATATTTCTCCCTAGTTGAATACTGATAAATATATTACAAGGAAATTAGTTTCCCATGCCTTGCGAAACAGCCCTCCCTCAAATTTTAAACTACTAATTCTATTTTCAGATTATTAACTTGTCCTTTAACTACTATATTAATGACAAAACAGTTAACAAGTAGAACAATAATAAAAAAGCAAGATTTTGCTTTGCTTTTCTCCACCCCAAGCTGAGTATCATCAGTGTACAGATGGCACTGCACCCCAAATCCACGGATGATCTCACCCAGCGGCTTCACATAAATCTTGAACAGGAGAGGAGAGGACCGACCCTTGCGGCACCCCACAAACAAGGTGCCTCGAGGTCAACCTCTGACCCCCAGCCAACACGGACTGCGACTGCGACCGGTCGGAGAGATAAGAGGAGAACCACCATAGAAGGGTGCCTCCTACTCCCAACCCCTCCAGCCGGCGCAGCATGATACCATGGTCAATGGTATCAAAAGCCGCTGAGAGATCTAATAGGACCAGGACAGAGGAACAACCCCTGTCCTGGGCCCTCCAGAGATCATCGACCAACGCGACCAATGCCGTCTCTGTGCTGTACCCAGGCCTGAAGCCGGACTGGAACGGATCCAGATAGACAGTCGCACCACCACACTCTTGACAACCTTCGCCACAAAGCGAAGGTTGGAGACAGGACGATAGTTTGCCAAAACAGCCGGATCCAGAGAAGGCTTCTTGAAGAGGGGCCTCACCACCGCCTCTTTCAAGGCGGGTGGTAAGAAGCCCTCACTCAAAGAAGCGTTTATAATGAGCCAGCCTCATGTAACCTCCCGGGTAGCCAGCACCAGCCAGGAGGGACATGGGTCCAATAAACATGTGGTTGCGTTCAACCTTCCCAGCATCCTGTCCACGTCCTCGGGAGTCACAGGATTAAACTCCTCCCAGATAACAGTCTCAAGACCCGGCTCAGACACCTCGCCTGAATCCACCTAGTCAGAGTCCAAGCTGTCCCGAATTTGAGCGATTTTATTGAGCAGATAACACGCAAAATCCTCAGCACGCCCTTGCAAGGGGTCTTCCCCGCTCCCAGATGGAGAAGGGAGTGGGTCACCCTAAACAGGGTGGCTGAGCGATTATCTGCCGACGCGATAACAGCGGAAAAGTAATTACACTTTGCCAGTTTTATCGCCACTAAGTAGGTCTTGATATAAGACCTCACTAGTGCTCAGTCAGATCCAGAACGACTAGCTCTCCAACTATTCTCTAGGCGTCTTTTCCGGCGCTTCATCTCCCTCAGCTCCTCGGAGAACCAAGGAGCTGGGCCGATTCGGTGCCGGGTCAGAGGCCGCAAAGGCACGACCCAATCTAAAGCACCAGTGGCCGCCCTATCCCAGGCGGCCACCAGATCTTCCGACGAGTCGTGAGCCAGAGTCTCAGGGAATGGCCCAGCTTGATTTGGAACCTATCAGGATCCATCAGGCGCATGGGGCGGAACCACCTGGTTGGTTCCGCCTCCCTGCGGCGGGGTGTAGCGGTCAGGAAGTCAAGTCTAAGGAGAGAATGGTCTGACCATGACAAGGGTTCAATGACTATATCCCCTGTATCTAGGCCATTCAACCACTGACCAGAGACAAAAACCAAGTCCAGAGTGTGTCCTCCTATATGAGTAGGGCCATGAATTAACTGGGTCAGGTCCATGGCTGTCATGGAAGCCATGAACTCCTGAGCCACCTCCAACGTTTCACCGATGGACGGCAGGTTGAAATCCCCCATGACCAAATGCCTGGGGGTCTCAACTGCCACCCCGGCTATGACGTTGAGCTCGGGCAGGGCCGCTGCCACGCAGCAGGGAGCCAGGTACGCAATCAGCAAGCCCACCTGCATCCCATGGCCCCACTTCACAAGGAGAGACTCATATCCAGCTATCTGAGGTACAGTGGCCTCCCTAGGATTGAGACCTTCCTTTACAATAACCGCCACTCCCCCACCCCTACCCTGGGCCCTCGGCTGATGAAATGCGCGGAAACCCGGTGGGCACATCTCAACGAGGGGGACCCCCCCTCCTGGCCCAACCAGGTCTCTGTAATACCCGCCAGGTCCGCTCCCCCCTCTTGAATCAGCTCACAAATGAGGGGGGCTTTGTTGACCACGGACCTGGCGTTGCACAGCATCAGCCTAAGACCGGGGCTCTGAGACTCTGGACAACCCAGGGAACGAGGTGAGCATTGGGGGCCGGAGCACGTCACCGCTTGAAGACAGCAGGCACGTGCCCTCACAACATGATATGGCCCCCTGCTCCCACCATATCTGCCCCTCCCACCGACAGTCCTGATGGAATCGCCCTCCTCCATACCAACACTAACCCGCTCCACTCCCCGCTCCGCACCTCCCCTCACATGACCCTGTGCCGGGCCTGGCTCCCCCCTCCCTCCCTCTCCCTCGCCAAACAACCCTCCCCCCCCAAAATCCCTTAAAAGATTAACTAATGACAATTTTAAAAAAACCCCTCAGCCCCCTCTTCGCTGCGTGCCACCTCTCGGGGTTCCAAAACCCGTCATCGAGGTAGGCCCTCGATAGAGTGGAGGACCAATCCTGCGAGAGGGGGGAATCTCGCAGAACAAGAAGCTCAGCTGCCGAGTACATTTTGCTACAAGAGGATGAATGACCATGTCCCAAAGGTCCAGATGAGGAAATAAAGGTCCAGGGGAGAGCAAATAAACAAAATGGGAGCATCCAAAATCCAAGGTCCAAAGTCCACTGTCCCCTCACAACAGTGGGCAAAGTCTCCTGCCAAGTTGACACAGTTCAAGGGGGATACGATCCAACCACCCTCTCACGATGATTGGTACATGAGAGGACACTTTTAAAAAAAAAATTGATTTATATGCCGCCCTTCTCCGGAGACTCAGGGCGGCTTACAATGCGTTAAGCAATAGCCTTCATACTTTTGTATATTTATACAAAGTCAGTTTATTGCCCCCACAATCCGGGTCCTCATTTTACCTACCTTAGAAAGGATGGAAGGCTGAGTCAACCTGGTGAGATTTGAACTTGCAGTAATTGCAGGCAGTTGGTGTTAATAACAGTGCTTTAGTCTGCTGCGCCACCAGGACACTGCCTACAAAATGGCCAGCACTTTTGCTGCTGTTGCCATGTCTCTTTAAGGCCCTTTCCTAGTGAACATAGTAATTGCTGGCTATAAAAGCTGAGCAGAGAGGTAGCTGAGGGTGGTGGTGTTTGGAAGATAGGGAAGAAGGTTTGTGTGTTCATGAGGAAGACTAAAGTAGATAAGAGATACTGTTCTCCAGCAATAGGACTCATAAGAAGTAGTAGTTGGAGGAGCAGGAGGAGGAAGTTCGGTAGAAATAGGAAAGTGTGGAGTAGTGAGTAATGAATACTAGCCTTTCAGTGTTTGTATGTGTGTTGCCTAGAGACCTGTATGGTTGTGATGACTCTCTTGTGTTTTGGAGTCCATTGACTTGGGTATACTAAAAAGAATCCATGACACATTATGTGTTAACATTTTTTTATTTTGCTGCAATGTAAATTCTTGTGATATGGTATTTGCTCCTATTACAATTTACAGCTTCTGTTTTTTTCTCTTGTAATGTCAGCTTTTTTAGTTTTGTAGTGATTTTTTTCTGTTTGTGTAAATGAGGCACTTGAATTTTTACAAATTTCCGCTCTAGTCACTACATTAGTACTTCTTTCTTCTGTTATATAATCACAGTATGCAAAAGTCAATAAATAACTTACATGGATAAAACAGGCCTTTTTCTTGAGGAAAAGTTTTTATATTTTTAGAATCTACTGTTTTTATCTTTTTAAAGTAACTTTGCAATAATTTCAGAAAAAATGTATATTGCAGCAAAGCCAGTCCTTAATTTTCTGATTCCTGTTGCATTCTGTTTGTCATTAACCAATATATAATTTTGCTTATATACATTTATATTCACATAAACTCGTGGTTCCATAATTAGTAGAATTTAAATTTAAAGGATTGTATAATTAATATTTTTTCTCTTACTCCTCTTCTGTTTTTGCTATCTTGTTATAGTTTTGCTATAGTCAGTGCTTTATAGTAAATTGCTATATATATATATATATATATATATATATATATATATATATATATATTAATTTGATTTATTCCCTTATTGATGTTTTAAATTTTAGGCATTTTTTAAAATCCAATCCAATCTTTATTAAAATCATAGTCCAGTATAAGAGTGTGAGATAATATCACCAAAAAGAAACATAAGGGATCTAAAAAGTGAAAATCTAAAATGAATTATTAAAAGCTTGAAGATATAAAAGCTAGATAAATTAAAAATACACACTTAAAGTTAGAATCTAAAAGGGACGGTAACATTAGATGGGTGTAGGGGAGCATAAAAAGTTAGTTTTTGGACTTTGTCGAGGTATAAAACATCTTAATATGACTAATTAGATGCACACTGAATCTAGAATGTAACTTTATTATGATCATAAACCAGCAATAGACATCACTGTTTACAACATATTAAAAAATAGTACTGACATTAATAGTGGATAATAACATCCCTGTTAAGAAAATACATGTCCTCAAACAGTTAGGTTCACTCCCTAGTTTATGTGAGTGGAGAGCCGATACGTATGTGAGTAAATATAATTTTCCAAAATTGTAAGAGATATCTCCAAAAAATTGGCACAAGTTGACAGCTATAATTCTGTAACCAATTTTTTTCTTGTGGACATTGCAGCCACACAGAATTTTGCCACTGCACATGTGATAGCTGGGTTTGAGTCCTGGAGGAGAAAGCCTACATAAAAATTGTCTGCCCTCCCTGGCAATCTCTCTAATAAGGGGAGAATATACACTGACCTATAAACTCTGTATAACTCACAATACAATAAAACATGTGAGATATCTTCAACTTCTACACTGAATCTACTTTACAATGCTGAGTCCCAACTACAAGCCATACATCATTATCCAATAAATTTGATTGCATAGTACCTAGCAACATTGTCTGTTGCAGCAAAGTAAGTATCTGCATACTGTCATGTCCAAATGAATATAATTAAATTATTTAAATACTTTCTTGCAGGTGGTCAAGACATAAACATGTTACATGAAGATGAAGAGGGACAGGCAGCACTAGATAATAACGAAGAAGTAATGCGTGCTCTGCTCATCCATGAAAAGAAAACCTCCTCTGTCTCTACGGCTGCTATGGGAGGGATTGCTCCTTTATCTGCCACAAATGCCAGTGATTCCGAGAGTGAGACCAGTGAATCGGATGAGGACTCTCTTCCTTGTGCAGCCACTGCTCCCACAACGCTCTATGGGCTGCCAGATGACAATGATGAGGATGAGTTTGAAGTAGTAACTGAAGACCCCATTGTTATGGTGGCAGGGCATCCATTTTCTTACAGTCAAGTAAACCAGCGTCCAGAGCTTGTGTCACAGATGACTGTGGAGGAGAAAGAGCAATATATAGCTATGGGCCAGCGTATGTTTGAGGATATGTTTGATTAACTTCTGCTGCTGGAATAGCAGTGATAGATGATCTTCAACTGGAAATTCTGAAAAAGCAAAAGAATTAGAACCAAATAGAGGAGTCAAAGATCAGAACGTAGGGAGGGAGCTGCTACAAATGCAACAAGGTGTGAGAAATCTGCAGTCAATCCAGATATTTCTCCCATATTTGCACATGTGCACACACCGCTGTGTTTAGTCTACAGGTTTTCCATTGCATTATACTTGATTTTTTATTTTTATTTTTTTTTTGCCTGGAAAATATGAATGCTCTTTTGATGGCTTATTTTTCTTCCTTAAAAAGAGGATTGTACTATAGAAGGCACTATCTTTACTTTACTCTGAACATAACTGCTTGTATCATATAGTTGAAAGAACTTACTGCCTTGCAAGCATAGTGACTATATGGGCTCCTTATTTCCAATGGGTTGACAAGCTAAATGCTTGCCTGCCATATATCTCTGGCGAGGGTGGGGAGAAAGAGAACCTGTGGCCGAAGAGAGTATAAATACAATCATGTTAAATCAGTGAGTATTGGGGACTATAGTGTACATTTTTTTTCTGCAGAAGGCATGCTGAAGATAGTTATTGTTAAAGGACAAACAAAAAAACACAATCCAGCCACTGCAATCTTTTCAAATTTATCTGATTTTTAAAAAATAATATCAGTATGTGACTCTTCTTTGCTAATTTAGTAGATTTAAAAAAATTTCATTTAATAATTTTGTCTGCAGTGCTAAAATTTCCAAAGAGGTGACTTTGTTAAAATATAACTTGGATCTAATTTTTTTTTTTTTTAATTTGATTTATATGCCGCCCTTCTCCGGAGACTCAGGGCGGCTTACAATGCGTTAAGCAATAGCCTTCATCCTTTTATATGTTTTATACAAAGTCAGCTTATTGCCCCCACAAACTGGGTCCTCATTTCACCTACCTTAGAAAGGATGGAAGGCTGAGTCAATCTTGAGCCTTGGAGAGATTCGAACCAGCAGAAATTGCAGGCAGCTGTGTTAATTACAGGGTGCACTAAACCCCTGTACTATCAAGGCTCTTTTTCTTACCTTTTCCAGAAGTGGTATTATTCATCCCATTTTTGGATGGTTTATTTTGTTTCAATGAAGCCTCACTTAGTTTCCAGAAAGATTCATCCCAAAATGTGGACTGTATGTATTTACATGTTACATAATCCATGAGGAAAAAGGCAAAAACAAAAAAAGTTGCCTCTTAACAAACAAGAATAATGAGGAAAGCAAAATGTTGCCTTTGATAAAACCTGGATTCTGTCCAGTAAAATATATGTGTCATGACTATGATAGTCATGTAAATGGATAGTCATCCAAGTAAATGGTGGGAAAGCAATATATTGTTTTAATAGAAATCTAAACAGCTTTAGTACTTTAAAAAATTATGCAGACTTTAGATGCCACTACAGAGCATGACAGAGTCTATTTTAATATTTCAGTGGTACCTTCATAAATTCAATTTTGTGACATTTAACTTTCTAAAACACATGGTTTTTTAAAAAAAAATCATTGTGCATTTCTTTGGAATAGTGTTAGACTACAGATAAAATAATTGTATTTCAAAGCACCAGCATTTATTGCATATTCCATTTTTATATATCAAAATTGTACAAGTTAACAGACTTGCAAATTGAAAAGCAAGTGACCATGTGTGTTGCCTTTTATAACTTTCAGATACTTCAATAGAGTCAAATTTTGTTCCACTTTAAAATAGAAATAAAATAATGTGATGCTTCCATTAAGGACTATTGTTTTTAGATTACAAATAAGCATTTTGAACAGCTGGTTTTATTTTACTTTAATAATATTATTTGAAGAATTACTGAACTATATACAGTTGTTCCCACAAAATGCTTGTCTGTCCATCACAATGTCCTTGTCCTATTGTGTATTTGTATTTCATATTAAGGCTGTATGAATGAGTAGATCAAAAGTACGTCTTGCATTCAAATACCATTGGGAATGCAGATCTTCTGGAGAATTTGACCATGATGTATTGTATTGATAGTTAAAAGCAGTCTTCCAACTTGGTTGGTCCCTCTTTCAAATGGAAGAAAGAAATACACAATTCAAGGGGAAGGTTGCTCACCACTAAATGTCACTGCATCAGAATTAAATCATTATGATACAGATAGTAACAAACCTGAAGTGTAATTCTTTATATATATAGTATATTTAATACTGAGCATGTAGACAAAAAGTATTCATAGACACAAAGGCTTGCCTCTGGATGTGGTGGATGCTGGAGGTTTTAAAGAAGAGAGAGGACAAACATTTGTCCAGAATAGTATAGAATCTCCTGCTTGAGCAGGGGGTTGGACTGGAAGACCTCCAAGGTTCCTTCCAACTCTGTTATTCTATATTCTCTGTAAATGCAGCATTTTAGATTCAATTGCAAAAAAAGACACATTGGATCATACAGTGATACTCACTTAGCTCCTCTCTGCCTAGTGTTTTTTCACAGGACTGTGTGGCTTCCTATCACAGCTACAACATGATCTTAGAAGAAGATGAAATGTATTTCATGTGCATCCCATGTGGCCTGAATTACTTTTTGAATTTTGAATTTGAAGCTTAGCATGGGACTAAAACCTTTTTGGAACTTAAGAAATTCCTAATTTTATAGAAAAATGGAATATTGCAACAACTGCTAACATAATGACAGTGTGACTATACTATATGGGCTGAGACTTTTCTCATGTTCTTTTGTACCTTTTCTCTGCCATGTCTTGGACCCTATTTAAAAATATATTTCATATAAGACCCTATTTCTAATTTTTAAAAATGCCACTGTCTGCCTTTTAGAAAACAAAACTATTGTTTTAGTAATAAAAAGTTGGATATTATTACTAGAATCATAGAAGGGGCTACTGAGTCTCATCCAAGCCCAAGACGATACCACAGTGGTCTCTTTCCCTGGTATTTGTTGCAATCTTTTTTTCTTCCTCATCCCCAACTATAAAAAGAAGAATAAAAAAGGGAATGCATCTTTCCCCTTTTTTTAACAAAAAGGATGGGGTGAAACGAGCACAAACTCTACAAATCCAGCAATATACACTCAGTTTGCAGAAACTGATGCCATCTGAAGCATGTTACCTGACAATATGGAGTCAAAATTGCTTAAAATAATTATTACAAAATATTTAACTGAAAAAAAACATAGATGAGTGTTGGGCTTAGAGAAACAGGATTAGATTCAAAGAGTAAATGTTAACAAAGCTAAGCTATTGAAGATTCAGCTTTGGAGAAAATAGTAAAAAGAATCAACCCTCTTCTGCAATACAGTCTAGAAAACAAGGTGCATTGGATTTACCTTAAAATCCTGGAATACTCCCATTCACCAACCTGGAGCTTCTTTCCTTTTCTTCTGAGTTACATAATTATTTTTTTTAGGATTTAATTAGTATAATTCCTGGCCATATTGGATAAACAATCTACTTGATTGTAGAAGTGTTTATTCTGAGCTGATGCAGTGGAAATGATTTTAACGGACAGTTGAGGTATTTTCCATACTTTTACCCTTTGGACCCAGACATTAAGATGACTAGATCTGCTCAGCTCCTCCTCTTTCTTTTCTTATATTCACACATATATTGGGGGCTGTTCACTAAGTTCCTTATACCATTGTAGGGTGAGCTCCATGTTGGAAAAGGCTGCCCTAAACAAAGACTGAAGTACAGTAACTATGTAGCATCAGAATAAAATGGTGAATGTGGACTCAATTTCTAAAAGCAAGTGACCCTGTGTGGCATACAACAAAGCTCAAGCAATATCAAATACCATTATTTTTTAAAATAAACTAAGAACAGAGCTAAAATCAATAACAGATGAAGTGATGTTAATAGTAGTGGAGCCACCTCATTAATTCACTGGCCCTTGGGGTTCCCAAGGCCTACTGACATCACCAAGTCTTGAAACCAGAAGTTTGGAAGTGATAAGGCCACCTCGGGGGAAGAAGATTCAACCACATGGACCTCACAATAGAAAAGGCCCATTACCTAGGGCCCACCAAATGTAAGTTCCTAGAAAACAACCTATAACCTAGCCCACTTTGCAGATTAAATCACTGACAGTCCCTCAACCCTATCCCATGCCTTGTAGGGGTTTAAAGGTCAACACCAGCACCTTGAAATGAACCTAGAAACACACCAGTAACCAATGCAGCCTGTGAAACAAATGTAACGTGTTCTACCAGAAACACATAACTGCTTGCATTGCTGCATTTTGTACCAACTGAAGTTGCTGCCCCTTCAAGGGCAGTCTCATGTACAGCAAAGTTTACAGATTCTGCTAAGGCAAATCCAAAGAAGTCACATTACGAATTTGTACAAGTGAATTCAGCTGTAACCTTTTAATATAATTTAACAGCTATTGCATGTTTGAAGGCTGCAAGGGAAAAAAATGGAATTGCTTTCAGCAGCTTGCATTGTTGGCTATTAATCATGTAAGGCAAATAAATTTGAGGCTGGCTAAGAGTCCCAGTCAAAAATAAGTGAACATTTTGTTTCAGAATATACTACAATATTAGGTTATCCTTAGGTAGTTAAAACAGCACAAATTTATACACATTGTTTGGGGCAGGAGAGCAGGGAAAGACTTGAGAGCGCTGGCCACAAATTTGTTGTAGCTAGAACTAGAAAAAAACCATACAGTATTTACACTCAAGCTGTATTATATCTTCTCACAAACAATATCACTTTGATATCTTCACACACAAAAAATTGTCACTGAGAAAAAAGATGAGAAAGAACAAACATTCGTGATAATATATAGCCAAATTGCTATTATCACTATTTTCAGTATGATTACTTTTGCTACCTTAATTATTCGTAAATATTTTGCCTGGTTTTATTATATTCATTCTCAAGATTGAGAATGTATATATGTATAAAGCCCAAGCCAAACAAACTGCATATTGGCCTAGTTATTATGGCATGTGAGCCATGGTGTATCATACAATGCAATATTGTGATCTCAGCCTATGTATATTATACACACCTTTGTTGGCTAGTGTGATGCATGATGAGGCAAAGGAATTGGCAAATAACCTCTCCACTTATTTCTTTCTATCTATTGCTTTTCTCATCCTCCGCAACTTTTTCCTTCATCTTTTAGTGGCTTCTTTACAGCACTATTTACCAAATATCTGCCTTATTTCCTTTTTTTCTTCTTTGTGATTTTCTGTCGATAATCTTTATAAAATACTTATTGGAGTATTCAACATTTCAAAATGTGGAATTCAACATTTCTTTCAGTACGAATCAAGTTAACTTTTTTAATTGAGACATGCTTCAAATGAACATTATTTAAGTGAAGATAAAAATATACACCAAAATTGTAAACAACTTGTGAATAGTTTATTTATTTATTTGCAGATTCTCTTCCATTTGAGTCACTTGAATCAGTTTTCATCCAGGTTCAGCTTCCATTCTGTATTTGAGATTATGGTGATTTTATAACTCTTTAAGATTCACTGAGAAAAATAGTTATTTAATAAACACATTACCACTCCAAAGAAAGTGGCGGCGGTGGGGGGGGGGAACGAAGTACAATAAAAACAATTATACCACCATTGCCAAAATAACTGGAACATAATGCAGGATCTCTCCTGAACTGGAGATAACATTTTTAAAGCCTTGCTATCATGAAAATTTGTGGAAGGGAGGCAACATATTATATCATCATATAAATACCATCACTTCTTGCATCAGACAGAAGGTAACCTTTTAAGAATGGTATGTGCTAATGTCACTGTGGATGTGTTGGTAGTTTGCTGTGAACAGCGCTACTTGCTATGTTTTTAGTTCCTAGAGTTAATTAGTATTAAAGTTACAGACTAAATTTTAGTTTTGCTATAGTCTCTTGATAGTGCTAATCTAACAACACTTATAAATCAATGCTATTTTAAAAGGCAAAGTCTCTCGGCAGCTGAGTTCAGCCCCTATTGGCTTTCCTCCCAGCAATTTCAGAGGTTTCAGAAGCAAACTCCTCTGGGTTTTAGTCCCATTCCCCATGGAATGCTCAATTGATGCTTACGATAAATTTCAGAGTTCGATGAATGTTGTTATCTCTGAGGTACTTCACGACTCCAAACTGCAGTCTTGAGTGTTAAGAGCATCGGATCCTTTTAAGTAGTTCGATGTTTTTCTCAGCCCCGCCTTTAGAATGGAATCAGAGAAGCTAGCAGGGTGGAAGACAGCAGCGCCCCCTCTAGCTCACCTCTGGTCAATCAAAAAGGACAATGACATGGCACCAGGTACCACCCGATGAGGCTATGTACGGTTGCGCGCGCACGCGCTCTAGCTGTTCCCACTCACTCCCCTCTCTCCGATAATCGCCGGCGTTTCCTCTTTCAGCCATTTTTTCCCCAGCGCTGTGAAGGAGGAAGCGGCAAGAAGGTTCCGGATCCGAGCTGCAGCATTTTGCTCCTTTTGCCATTCTTCACTGGCCAACCTTCGGAGACTTCTGTTTAAGCGGAATCAAAATCGGAATCTCTGAGTTATGTTTTAGTTTTCCTCTAATCTCACCTCCTTCGGTCTATCGCAACATCTTCTGAGTTGAGAAGTTCTTTCTTTCCACGATTCTTTTGCTTCGTTCTGGTTTCTTTCAACTCCGCTTCTTTTCAAAATTGCAAGCGGATTATCTAATAGTGAGCTCGTCGTTCACCAGCCTTTCCCTCAGCGAAACAATCCTCCCTAGTTTTGGCGCGCGAGCCGGGTGAGTCTGGAGGAGGAGTCACTGCCGCCGCCGCCGCCGCCGCCTTCGCCTGTGGTTTCAGGACCTTGGAGAGCTGCTTGGACGGATCGGTCGGGGAACTGCGGCACCACTCACAGCTAAGCGACCGGAGGATTGCGCAGTCCTCCCTCAATTTGCGGACGATGCGTGCCCGCAAATCATGAACTTGTGATCCTACACCCTCTTTTACATCTACTAGTTGTGACCATCCTGCTGGGATGCAATTTATGTCCAGGCGCAATTCGTGTTCCTCCACTTTTCATTGGTTTGGATGTTGTGGATCAACCCCATAGCTGATTTCATCAAAACCTAATTGGGAACCCTACTTTTTAAGGCCTCTTTGCAGAGAGGGTAACTGTGTATCCACAACTTACTTGCTAACAAAATAATCCTTATTTGGTTTTGTTTCGATTTAATTAGAATATGAGTGGGTACATCACAATTAATAAACTGTGGTTTTCTTCTGGAGCTGAACAGTATAGCAACATTGCAATCAGAGTGGGAGGCTGGTATTGTGAGGGAAGAGTGTAGTTGTGAAGCAGGAGAAAATATCTCAGATTGCAAGAGAATGACATTTATTTATAAAGATGGAGGTTAACTGAATACTGAAGAATAGTTAAATACTCACTCTAAAGACTCTAAATATAAAGGTTATCAAGAAAGATAAAGAGTCTACAAATGTTCCAAAACATGGACTATCTAGGGTAGAAGCGGGGATTTTAGAAAGCGAGCAAATGGACAGTAGCAACCAATTCTTCAGAAGAATCATATTTAAGATTATAATAAAGTAATTGACCAAAGACGTTGGCTTGCAGGACTCAATTACTTAAAAATAAATATATATTTCCAGCAAGAAAGTGTGTTCTACTTAAATCTGGATTACTAGTTTTATAAATCTTAATTTTTAAAGAAGGAGCCATAATTAATCCCTTTTAATTAATTCAGTTTTTTCTTTCCCTAATGTCATTTTAGAATATCCCTTCTTAACATGCCTTCTTTTTAAAACAAAATTAAAATGTTATGTATTTCATTTGAGTTAGCAGAAAATGCCATACTGCTATATCATTGGAACATTTGAGAGATTCTTTGTGAGAGGAAACAGTCTTTGCTGAATGTGAAATTATCAAACCCAAGGAGTTCTCATAAGTGAAATTAATCTTGAGACTTTTTCTACAAAATGAAGAAATTTAGTTTTCACAAAGTTTTAGATGGTTTAACTTCATCCCCTAGTGGAAACTGCAGTAATAGTAGCAGTGGTAGTGGGCCTGGAAGGAACTCTGGGAACTCTGGAGAGGCTGCAGGGACACCCAGGGATGAAATTCAGGAAAGGCTGACTGCAGACTACTTTCGGTTAAGCAAGGTAAGAGCTGAATGCTTTCTGTAAGAATCAACATTCAAAAAAGTAGAAAGCTATAAATCAGTTGTAACTTACCAATTTATATTATCTTAAATATTGGCTGCATTTTATTTTTCTCACCCCTACGCCCAGTTTTATATTTTGTATAATAAAATCACAATAAAAACAATTATGGGTTTATTCTAGTTGGTAACAAGCCTGAGACATGATACAATATGCTCAATTTGATTTCGCATATTGATTGAAGTTTCACAGGTGGGGATGCCTCCAGTCCTTCAGTTGCCCTAGGTGGGCTATTATATGCTTAGTTGGATTTCTGGCTACATTCTACGGAAATCCCTCTTTTAGGATAGACCCAAAAAGGGTATTGGATACAGTTGGATTTCAGGAGGCAATGAAAGGGTTTTTGTTGTCTAAGTGGAATTAACAAACTCATGGCCCATTGCATTGTTTTTGCTTGTGAGGAAGTTGACTCATACAAGACCCTCACAGGCCATGTATTTGTGACTGTCTCTGAAGGATTCAATTAGAAATGGTGTAATAATGTCTTCCAATAAACCAATATTTGTCTAGGAAGGAATGAAAGAATACTTGTCTACTTGTATAGCTAAAATTGCCGGATCAGATAAGAGTCTAGAACTGATAGAGAGTTGTATGAGAACTAGAAGGGAATAGGCATTCTCACCTTGGGATTAAGATGATATAATTAAAATTCACAGGATCATGAATTTTGTCTACATATACAATCCTCTGCAAAGCCTTCCTTCCTACAGAGCTTCATGCTGAATGCAGAAATTGCTCATAAGGGACCGTGCAAAATGTTCAAAGCAGAATTAGCAGTTTCCAATGTCCAGTTTAGCAACACTGAATAGAACTTGTGAGAATATATAAATAAACAGTTGTAACTGACAACATAAATGAAATATTTTATACATCAGTTAAAAAGAACAGTCCAAAATAACAAATGGAAAGGGTAGAAGAACTATTGTGCCACATTATAACAAGTATCTTGACATAAGAATGCTCCTGCAGGTTTTATTTCCCGTTGAAATCTTAAAGGAAATCTTCCTTAGTTTCCATTGCTCATAATGTGCCCTCTCTTTCCCATTGTACATCAACAGAACTACCCAACCTTTTTCATCCTGAAAACCGCACTTTCTCTTTTTGCTATAGTAGATTGGCTATTTCCCCCCACACACACACACACACTTTTTAGAGCATTGAGCGTAAAGTCTTATAAAGGCTTACAAGTGTCGCTTTGTTCCTTTAAATCTCTTTCAAAAATGGGGGCATATGTGTGAAATCATTGTCATTCTGTATGGAGGATTGAGGTTTTTAATAGGCATGCTTTGGAAAAAAAACTAAAAATCCCCCAAACACTAACATTAAAAAAAAAAAAAGAAAACCTGTTTGATTTGAGGGATCTCTAAGGGTATCGCACACAGCCTGTCATCAGTTACAATATCAAATGCCTCATCTGGCACTTAAGGTTCTGATAGACGATGAAAGAAAAAAGGCAGTATATTATCTTCAATCACCCTCCTGAGAAAGTTAGGGGGGAAATCCCAAGGAATCTTTGCCAGAAATCACGCTATCCTTTCCTATTCTCTAACATCTGAGCTGAAGATAGAATTCATATCTGGTAATAAAGCATAACGAGAAGGACCTTGACAGACATGTAGGAATCATTATCTTGGAAAAAGGGGCTCAAACATTACTTTTGGATGCAGCTCAAGTAGACAGCTCTCTAATTCACTGAACTATAAGGAAGAGGATGAAATATGCACAGTCAGATTTGCAAGAGTCTGGCATTATAGTCAATAAAAGTAGTTTCAGCCTACCTGTGGAATTGATTTCCTTAACATTTGTACTTTAAAATACTTTATCCGATTCCTATGGCTTCTTATGCCAATTTTTCCCTATTCCTGTTAATTAGAAATGATGTGTGTATTTTTTAAAAAAACAAACTAAATTGAGAAGTTATTTACTTATTGCAAACTAATTTTACATTTTCTGATATAGAAAAATATGAAGAACTTCATAGAATAATTCCATGTTTTATTATAAAATGTCTACAGAAAAAGGAAATGCTTATACATAAAAATTATTTTTAAAATCTCAAAAATATGAGCTTACAGAATATGGCAATTGAATCAAGGAGTGGAAGGGGGAGGAAGTCTTTTAAAGAAAACGGTTTCAGGAGGGATTGATTTGTTAGATGTTTTCAGCAAATGCCACAAAGAATCTTATTGT